AAAATGAGATGCATACCCTACCCCAGACCTAAACCTACCCATAACAGTGCGTGTTATATTGACGCTAAAGGTTGCCATGTGCGTAGTATTTTATATGGACAAAAATCTATAGGACTTTTCCCTCTTGTATTGTCTGCCAGGTGAAAATCCTCAAATCATTGTGGGATGTGTTAGTTTAAAATGTAGGATTAGTGATTTGAACAACCCCATAGCACTAAGTGTGTTTCATAGGCTGATATATTAAATAGGTAGGCATTGTTGTGGCGTTGACAGTTCAGAGAGGATAGCATGATCTCTCTCACTCTGTCTGTCACTTTCACCCACACAATCTCCCCCAGCTGGTTGCCATCGGGCAATGAAGGTCAGTGGAGGTGTTCTTGCATTATATAAGGGAGCTATTAACCAGGCGTGTGTGTCTGTCTGTCTGTCTGTATGAGTGTGCGTGTGTTTAGCGCGTCTGCTTGTAAACTGCTGTCATCTAATCTGCGGTTAAAGCTCCAGTCAGTAATCCATTTCACACTTCGGGTTATTTTGTGGCATCCACAATCTTAAAACACGCCAACGGCACGCCATCTAATCCTGCCAAATAAAGCCACGGTATACAGGATCCACGCACTGCAGAAACGCTGACATCGCCATGGTAATCTGACACACGTCACTGCTTGTTTATACGTATATTTTGTTTTGTTCAACACAAACAAATTCACCCCAGTTAAGGGACGTCATATCTCGGCTCATATGAAGGCCCATACTCAGTGTTGTAGTCGAGACCACCTCACTCGAGTCCGAGTTGACACCGAGACCAGAGAGAGTCAAGTCCGAGACCAGAGACGGTCGAGACCGAGAGACCAGTGAGGGTTGATTACCTAGTTTACTTTTATTTATTTAGAGAAATCCTTTTTTTTTTTTTTTTTTACTGAATTTACTTAGAGTTTAAAAAATATGATCAGTTTAGGGTAAAAAGGCCACATAGTAGGTGGTGTTAAAAGTAATTTTATTACAATTTGTCATGCACAGTTGCGCACTAGAAAATCACCAATCACTGGGCGTGTCAATCAATTTAAAGAAATATTTTATTATTGTTATCATGAAAAATTATTATCATGAAAAATATTTTTAATTGAACTCGAGTGGACTCGGGAATAATTCCGAGTCCTAAAAAAAAAAGGGTCGAGTACGAGTCAATTACGAGTCCAAATGCACACGAGTCCATGACAAGACCAAGACCATTAAAATGAGACCGAGACCGAGTCTGAGACGAGTCCGAGTCTCGAGTACTACAACACTGCCCCATACTGTCTATACTGAACAGGGGTGCGTTTCCCGAAAGCATCGTTAGCCAACTATGGTCGCAAGTTGGTTTGCAATTTCCATTTAACTCTATTGGTAACGACGGAACTTGCGACCAGTTGGCTAACGATGCTTTTGGGAAACGCACCCCAGATTGTGGCTTTGCTGCATAGTTCTGGTCCTAAAACTTATTAGTTGAATATGTTGCACCTACATAATTAATTATGTTGTAATAATTATGACCAATATAACATAATTATATAACTTTGACTTTGAATGAAACGGCTGCTCCATCAGCTAAAGAAACAATTGTGGCAACTCTATGCAACATATGCTTGAATTGTATTATGAAATATGAACCGTAAAGGTATATTAAAGGTGAACTCTGGCGCAAAATTTGGTCTAATAAAACACTGTTACTTAGTCAACCGTTCTCTGTGATTTGTTTTCATGATAATCGAATGTAAAGAGTTTTATCTCTAAAAACTGTTTAGCGTATAATGCTAGTACTAGGGGCATTTATTAAGTAAAAAGAAATCGCTAGTTTATACCACTAACAAGGCTCAAAATAGCCCCACAATAACACAGTCAGTAACATAATGAGGGTCCATACATGCAAAACGAAGCATTGAGAACTTTGTAAGTGTACAGACCGTTTAATAAGAAGATACTTTATAAAGACAGTTCACTTCGTGTACACAGACAGCAGCCATCTTAAAAAATAGTCTCGATAAGTCGATCCCCGAACGCCGATCATGCAGTTAAGAAGTTCGCTAAACTTCATACAGTTTAGCTCACTCAGCACGACGTTCGTGGTTCGACTTGTCGTGACTGTTTTCCAAGATGGCTCCTGTCTGTATACACGAAGTGGACTGTCTTCTTCTTAACGTATCTTCTTATTAAACGGTCTATACACTTCCAAAGTTCTGAATGCTTCGTTTTGCATATTATATAGGGACCCTCATTATGTTACTGTGTTAGTGTGGGGCTATTTTGAACCTTTTTAGTGGTATAAACTAGTGATTTGTATATATATATGTATATATTTATAGTTATGTATATTAGGCCTATATATCGCAGCTTTAGACTCATAAACAACCTTTATTTGTTTATTGCGGTGATCAACTCCATCACTTCATTATTGTTTTACTCTCTCAGACAAGTTTACCAAAGCATTATAGACAGAACTGTCTTCAGCGTGTTAAAACTAGAGTCAATTAATTAAATCTGAAAGTGAGCGTGAAGTTGCATGCCAAAGGAGGAAGAAAGAGGATTTTCTGAGTAACTGTCAGCTTAACCATTAAAAACCGCAAACCCACGCGTACCCTGTCAACAGCCCTACCCTGCAATGACAACACCCACTCTGAGCAGGGGGCCCCTATACACACACACAAACCGAGATGTGTTTGCACGTCACAGAGTGCCTATGTATATGTGTGTGTGCATATATGCGTAGGCGGCCAAGTGTGTGTGGGCGTGTTTGAGTAGGAAGACACGCTTGACTCGGATAGGCTCAGCAAATTAAAGGAATCTTCGTTTTTTTTTATCGCCACCCCCCTTTCTCTCTCTCTCTCTCTCTCTCTCCCTCTCTCTCTCTCCTTCTTTCCTTATGTTTCTCAGGCTTATGTTAGTGGTCAGCTATTTCCAATATAAAAAGGAACGAGATCATGTATGGTGTATATGTAGATAAATACACACACACACAATAAGTATAGGCACGTGTGTGTATATATATATATATATATATATATAAAACAAAGGCAATTTTACATTTTGTCAAATCCACTTTTTTCCCCACATTGAAAAAAATGTTAACTCATTTGCTAGTGTGTGTGTGTGTATATATCACAACACATTCCCTTGAGAGCAGATACACTTTACAAAACTCTAGTAAAAGGATCCATGATTGCAGTCAAGGTGCTGTCGCTTGTCATTTTCTTGTCACACAAGATGGAAAATGACTTGGAAAAGCTTTTGTTTTGAGGAATAGACTAACACAAAACTGGGGGATGACAGCAACCACCACGCACTTCCTCCCAGGGGCTGTTCGCTGTGCCCAACCTCCTTCCAAAAATAGCTCAAGATGCTCTGGCAGATGGGAGGCTGAACATGCACCCCTCTGATCCAGCCTTTTAGATATATGATTACATTTCATTTTAATATGCAGCTTGTGCGTTTTTTTCTTCTTCTCCCAGGGCAGTGTGGGGGAAGAAAGAAAAAGCATCATTTAACTTTATAGGTAGATTCTGCTGTGTTGTTATTTTAGGTGTTTATTTAAAGCTGTAATTTTACCGAGATGCAAGAGAGAGAAAACTTTCTGACCATTTTACATTTCTATAGCAGTTTACTGAGGTGGGTTTCAGGGGGATTTTGCACACAAGAGTGTGTGTGAATTTCCTGTGGGGTTTACTGTCTGGGGACAAGAAGAATTGTCACACAACGCGTTAATGCAGAAATCCGACCGCATTGTAAGTTGCAAAAATGTTGCAAGGTTTTTACATTACACAGCATTCGTTTATGAAAAATAAGTCAGACATTACATGACATAATGTCATTGCACTAGCAGTCATAATATTTAATAAAGGAGTAGTTCACTTTTAAAAAAAACTTTTGCTGATAATTTACTCATCCCCATGTTTTTGATGAAAACATTCCAGGATTTTTCTTGATATAATGGACTTTACTGGTAACCAAACGGTCCAAATTAGAGTTGCAGTGCAGCTTCAAAGGGCTTTAAACGACACCAGACGATGAATAAGGGTCTTATCAAGGACCCTTCGAGTCATTACTCGAAAAAAGATTTGTTCATTTTGATGAACGAGTTTAAACAGGAGAGTCACAAACGCTCATTACAGAACAGAGCAAGGCGATCATTTGTGCTTATAAAACTTAAACTTTTTTATTTATTTTTCAAATGATCGATCGTTTCACTAGATAAGACCCTTATTCATCGTCTGGTGTCATTTAAAGCCCTTTGAAGCTGCACTGAAACTGTCTTTTTGAACCGTTTGGTTCCCAATGAAGTCCATTATATGAAGAAAATCCTGGAATGTTTTCATCAAAAACCTTAATTTCTTTTCAACTGAAGAAAGAAAGACATTGACATCTTGGATAACATGGGGGTGAGTAAATTATCAGCAAAAGTTGTTTTTTTTAAGTGAACTAGTTAAGTTTTTTAAAATAAATATGTTGTGTTGGTGCTATTTATGAGTTTAAATGTCAACATTTAAATCGCTATTCGTTAAAATCGTTGGATCACTATTCGCTGGAAAACTCATTTTAATTAGTTTTTTTTGTGCGGCCCAAACTTGATAATGTATTTACAAAAAAAAAAAAAAAAATGTCATAAAACGTTAAACCATTTATTTTCAGAGATAACGTAACGTTAACTGACTTTCAAAAGTAGGCTAAACGTCATGATAAGCATGTATTGTGGTAAAACGTGCGACAATCTGCCCAGGTTTCCCTTATTTACATGTACGAACATGGACACCACAAAAAATCCTTCATGGTGTATGCCTACTGAAGGCTGTGTGGGTTCGTGTCGAAAAAAAAAAACACACTGTATTACCGCTTAATATTCCTCAATATGTCATCATGAATGTGGATATTTCACCGTGTGTGTGACCGTTCAGGTCCTCTCTCTCTCTCTCTCTCTCTCTCTCTCTCTCTCTCTCTCTCTCTCTCTCTCTCTCTCTCTCTCTCTCTCTCTCTCTCTCGGTATTCCGTCCCACGCGCACAGCACCGCCCACGCGAGGATTTGCGTCAAGCCGGCGCGTGGGAGTGAGAGAGCAATGCAGCTTACATCGGAATATCCCCGCACAAGAGAGAGAAAGACAGCGCGAGAGGGAGACAGCACCGATGAGTCTTCAACGCACTTTCTCTCCTGCGCGAGAGGCGGAGCACTGCCTCGAGACAGCGGCGAGCACCGGGAGCAGTCGCGCGCACCAGCTCCGAAAGAGAGGTACGTAAACCTGAGGACCGACTAATATAAACATTTTCATACATTATTAACATTCAGATGGGAACTCAGTATCCGAGTGATTTGCATGCATTGATCTCTTAGAGATTCCCAAGTGCATGTGAAGCAATAGTTTGAGATCTTCTCAAGAGAGTTTGCAGGAACCTGTCCATGCTTTGAATAATGTAATGCACCTTTGTGTTTGCATCAGCATGCACTTATTTGACAGCCTACTTGCAACATTTTTAATGTGATGTCATCTGGTCCAGGCTGTGTTTGTACCCGTTTTGAAAGCACCTGTTAGTGGATTTAATAAGCATATAATAACTCATTTTTAATGAAAAGTGCTAAATAACTACTTAAAGGTAAAGTATATGTTTCTCAATGTTAATATGTTAATTTAACGCTAAAAAGCAACAATAACCCATCTTTTCACCACTTACTACAAACAAGAAGGTACCCTACATTGGTCATTCATTTCCATTTGAAGTCATTCATTTCATTCGAGAGTAGGACAGGTTGCATTGACTTCTAGCTCTCTACGGATGCAGGATTTTTAGATCCAATTTGAGCCTCAAATGCATTGAAAGTTTGCAACTTTTGTGAGTAAACACTGGATGTACAGACCTTAACGTATAGAATTTTACGTGGATAAAAACAAGGCTGTGAGGGATAGACTTACGTGTGAGCAAAAATACGTACATTAACAGGCAGGATGGACAAGTCCAATCATTGCACTTGGTCCGAATGCAGTGATTGGATGAATATGTTATGGTCCTACGCCTTCCACAGATGATGCAAATATAAAAATATTTAGACCACTTGACTTAAGTGATTGCTATCAGGAATCAGGATGTGAAAAGACTTTCAACCAGCACAACAAAAAAAATGTTTCTGTAGCAAATCACCTACCTTGCTTTTCAATTTTCAAAATCCACAACTTTCAAAATGGTTCAACGGAGCTTTTGTCTATTGTAAGTTTTTTAAAATAATTGGCATGTTGGTAGTCTTGGAATGACAGTGCTATCTTTTGCTCTGTGTTTGCATGTGTAGCCATGTCAGTGGTCCTGCCACGCTCCTTGGGTGAGCTACAACTGTACCGTATCCTGCAGAAGGCAAACTTGCTCTGCTACTACGAAGCCTTCATCCAGCAGGGCGGCGACGATGTGCAGCAGCTCTGCGAGGCTGGCGAGGAAGAGTTCCTCGAGATCATGGCCCTTGTTGGAATGGCGACCAAACCCCTCCATGTTCGGAGGCTCCAGAAGTCCCTACGGGATTGGGTCACCAACCCTTCCCTCTTCAACCAACCATTGACATCTCTTCCCGTTTGCAGTATACCGGTGTACAAGCTACCCGAAAGTTCCCCGGGCATCCACAGCAATGGGCAACAGAACCAGCTTGCGGTTCCCAGGGCGTTATTACCCACAAGCCCCAGTCCTGGAAGGCTGGATCTCAGCAGGGACGGGACGCCAGGCTGCTCCCCACTGCAAGGGGCCAGCGAGAGTCGTTTCTGGGGAAGCGAGAGCGAGCACAGCCTATCTCCGTCTGGAGCCTGTTCCCCCTGTTCTCCACATGACGCCCTCGAAACTCTCGATTCCACCGCCGTCCAGTGCGTGATGGAGTGTGTAGAGCGACTATCCCAAACGTTGCCCAAGAGCGACCTCACGGAAGTCAAAGAACACGTGCGTGCCAATAAGAAGCTCAGCAAGATGATCGGCCACATCTGCGAGATGAACGAAGACGATCCGCAGAAGGAGGTGGAGATTCGGAAATACAGCGCCATCTATGGGCGGTTTGATTCCAAGAGGCGGGACGGACGGCAGCTAACGATGCACGAGGTTGGATTGATTCCTCTGGTTGGGGTGAATGCTAAGATATTTGGATTGCCGCATCGGACAATGATTGTGCAGAAATTGTTTTTCCGTAAGATTCTAAACGGTTAATGTTTTCTTTGTTGTTTCATTTATTGTGTAGCTAACGGTAAATGAAGCTTCTGCTCAGCTGTGCATGAAAGATCTATCGCTGCTCACCCGAAGAGACGAGCTTTTCTCGTTGGCCAGGCAGATTTCACGCGAAGTTACATACAAATACACCCGCAGGACCAGCAGGTAAGGCACAATTTCTTCAATTCATTTGATTCTATAGAAAAAAACATTTTTTAAATAGTGTACTAACCCTTTGTTGACATTATCGAAGGACTTGCTTTTGTTTATATAGTAGTCCGGAATATTGTGGGAGGGACGTTGTCATGCTAAAGAGCATTTTATTGGACAAAAATTTGCATACGACCTTGTAACCTTGCCTATTGTCCCGTATTCATTTTATAAATGCTTTTTGGCCCTGTCTACACCTGATATTAAGATGCGTTAAAGTCGATCGGATCACAAGTAAACAAACCCGTTTACAACTGGTTTTAATCTGTCTCTTTTGTCCACTTTCATCATGATTTCCTCAAGGGGAGGGTATATGGGCAGGTAAATGCGTGGGATTTTTCAGATCTTATGGGTTTGTATGGGCTTTTTCTTTTGATCCAACGGACAAAACAAACATACGAAATTTATACGAACGTGCCCGGATACGACCAAAACACATACGGACAACAGCATTTTTAGTTTCTACTGTGTGTTAGAAATCAGGAATGGTGAAAGAACATTGTGCTTGATACGTTTATTTATCTTCAGCCGAAAAAGTTTAAATCCTGTCTGGCTAGCGTGCTTCCCATATTGTTTACAAATCAGGTCAATAGGGGGAACACATTTAAAACATGAGCGTTTACACTAAGAAAACAATCCGATCTAATGAATTTTTTGACTACCTCTGAAGTTGTCGAAAGTGGACAAGCTCAAAACGTTTTAAATTACATCTGTATTTAGCGTCGCCAACTTCCGATCCAATCCATCGACCAAAACGCATATTAATACCAGGTGTAAACAGCAGTTGCACCTCACTGCAGTACACGAGATCCAGGGGGCGGAGTTGGATCCAGATTTAAGGAGTGGAGATGGGTAGATTTATGGGTGGGGTTAGGGATCAGGGGTGGAGATGGGTAGGATTAGTGGTGGGGTTAGGGATCAGGGGTGGAGATGGATAGGATTAGTGGTGGGGTTAGGGATCAGGTGTGGAGATAGGTAGATTTAGGGGTGGGGTTAGGGATCAGGGGTGGAGATGGGTAGATTTATGGGTGGGGTTAGGGATCAGGGGTGGAGATGGGTAGGATTAGTGGTGGGGTTAGGGATCAGGGGTGGAGATAGGTAGGATTAGGGGTGGGGTTAGGGATCAGGGGTGGAGATAGGTAGGATTAGGGGTGGGGTTAAGGATCAGAGGTGGAGATAGGTAGATTTAGGGTGGGGTTAGGGATCAGGGGTGGAGATGGGTAGGATTAGGGGTGGGGTTAGGGATCAGGGGTGGAGATAGGTAGGATTAGGGGTGGGGTTAGGGATCAGGGGTGGAGATAGGTAGGATTAGGGGTGGGGTTAAGGATCAGAGGTGGAGATAGGTAGATTTAGGGGTGGGGTTAGGGATCAGGGGTGGAGATGGGTAGGATTAGGGGTGGGGTTAGGGATCAGGGGTGGAGATAGGTAGGATTAGGGGTGGGGTTAGGGATCAGGGGTGGAGATAGGTAGGATTAGGGGTGGGGTTAAGGATCAGAGGTGGAGATAGGTAGATTTAGGGTGGGGTTAGGGATCAGGGGTGGAGATGGGTAGATTTATGGGTGGGGTTAGGGATCAGGGGTGGAGATGGGTAGGATTAGGGGTGGGGTTAGGGATCAGGGGTGGAGATAGGTAGGATTAGGGGTGGGGTTAAGGATCAGGGGTGGAGATAGGTAGGATTAGGGGTGGGGTTAGGGATCAGGGGTGGAGATAGGTAGGATTAGTGGTGGGGTTAGGGATCAGGGGTGGAGATAGGTAGGATTAGGGGTGGGGTTAGGGATCAGGGGTGGAGATAGGTAGGATTAGGGGTGGGGTTAAGGATCAGGGGTGGAGATGGGTAGATTTAGGGGTGGGGTTAGGGATCAGGGGTGGAGATGGGTAGATTTAGGGGTGGGGTTAGGGATCAGGGGTGGAGATGGGTAGATTTAGGGGTGGGGTTAGTGATCAGGGGCAGAGATGGGTAGGATCAGGTATATGGAAGGTGGGAGGAGTTGGATCTGGATCCAACTCCTCCCCTTTGATTTCATGTTCTGCAATTAGAACCATCTCGTAAACAGGGCCTTTGAGACAACTGTTTAGAGCACATTTGATTTTGCCCATTTTTTGCTTTTTAGTTTTATATATTTTTATGGTCTTCATTTAGTCATATAAGCACCATCTATTTGAGAGACAATGATTGTTGATGGTGTAAAAATAGTTGGGAAACTGAAAATAAATCATTATTTTAGGTCCCACTGTGGTGATGAAGATGAACCATCTCCCAAGAGAATCAAATCTGAGGTAAGTTTAAACAAGTTCTGTTGATTCAGTTCATATTCATAAACCCAGCTGCGACAAATTGCTTTATTTGCATGCGACGCCTGAGCTTTGTAATCATTTCGAGCTCCAGGTGGTTTCTCGGGACTTCTTTATTAGTTTTGCATTCTTGTCATGATATTAATTGCCAGCCGCCTTTCCATTGTGTTTGAATTAATGCTGTGTTTGTGTGTGCACTCTCTCTGTTAATAATCTCAGGAGGGTAATTACTGTCATGATTCACTCCGAAATGTCGCGTTCACAGCTTTTTCCCATGAGCGACGTTCTGCGCCTCTGGGTGAACATCTAAAAGTAAATGATATCGCTGTTTTCGTATCTCTTTGAGGCCTCTAAGTCAACAAAATGGTAGCAAACAAAACTCTCAAGACGTCAAATTAAAAACTCTATGTGATTAATTTTAGCCCACTTTTAATTGCTTGTTTTTGGCGGAAGTTGTTTTGTTGGGTTTTCTGGATAAAGAAAAGCTTAATACACAGACGCACAATCATTCATACACACAGGCGGAGAAGTACACAGTGGACTGAAACACATAATTGACATCATCCTGTGGGTGCTTACTGAATTACCCACGCATCGCTGTGGCTGTCTCTGCCTGAGTCTAACGTCATACGTGGACACACACACACACACACACACGTGTGATGACCTCAGAGGAAAATGCGGAGGTTGTCAAGGGGCGACACGAAGTGAAAATTTGTTCAAAGGTGACAATCTGTAAATAATGGTGTGAAACAAACCGGAACGTTGCCATGGCAGAATTTTTGTTTATTATGTGTTAGTATTTTTAAGTGTATTTGAAGTTTTCACCAAGATTAAAACATTCAAAAAAAGGACCAATGGATTGTTTTTCATAATTAGCATCTAAAAACTTTAGAAATTAATTTCATAATTAGCATCTAAACACTCAAAAAGAAAAAAAAAATTATAATAATACTAATACTAAAACCAAATGTAAAACAGTATATTACACTATATTTGATGACTAGTTTAATTTTTTTTAAAGGTTTTATGAACAATTTACACAAATGTATCAATCTTCTTTTATCTATCCAATATCCAAAAAGTAAGTTTAAAGGGTTAGTTCACCCAAAAATGAAAATTAAGTCATTAATTACTCACCCCCATGCTGTTCCAACCCCGTAAGACCTTCGTTCATCTTCGGAACACAAATAAAGATATTTTTGATTGAATCTGAGAGCTGGATCAGTCCTAGATAGACTGCCTAAGGGACTGGCTCTTGACGGCCCATAAAGTCATTAAAGAAAAGGTTTAAATATTCCATGTGCCTACAGCGGCTCGATTATAAGTTTATCAAGCGACGAGACTACTTTTTGTGTGAAAACAACATAAATAACGACTTTATTCCACTATTCCATTACTTCCTTATGGGCGCATGCGCGAGAACTGAGACGAGGACGTTCTCATTCGTCTACTTCTTGTTACCGGCTGCTCACCGCTTAGGAGTTTTACCGCCACCTACCGTATAAAATGATGATCCATATATAAGGCGCTCCGGATTATAAGGAACACTGTCGTTTTTTGAGAAGATTAAAGGCTTTTAAGTGCACCTTATAGTGCGGAAAATACGCAAATTAAAAAAGCGTATGTACAGCGCGCATCTTCCTCTGCTTGTAAACAGAAAGTTTTGCGCTTCCAGCTATATCAGCACATCATCTTATACGGTAGGGGGCGGTAAAACTCCTAAGCGGTGAGCAGCCGGTAACAAGAAGTAGACGAATGAGAACGTCCTCGTCTCAGTTCTCGCGCATGCGCCCATAAGGAAGTAATGGAATAGTGGAATAAAGTCGTTATTTATGTTTTTTTCGCAAAAAGTAGTCTCGTCGCTTGATAAACGTATAATTGAGTCGCTGTAGGCACATGGAATATTTAAACCTTTTCTTTAATGACTTTATGGGCCGTCAAGAGCCAGTCCCTTAGGAAGCCAATGGAAGAGTGATCCAGCCCTCAGATTCAATCAAAAATATCTTTATTTGTGTTCCGAAGATGAACGAAGGTCTTACGGGGTTGGAACAGCATGGGGGTGAGTAATTAATGACTTAATTTTCATTTTTGGGTGAACTAACCCTTTAATCACCAAATTTCAATTTAAAAATAAAATTATATATAATAGATGCTACAAAAGTGTAAAATATGATTATTTGGATGGTTCATCTCTCCAGCAGCATGACTTACCTTCCCTGTCACTGGACTACAGATGTGATGAGTCAGTTTGTGCGAACAGCTTTCTTCATTCGTGTAAATGTCATGTTTGCATCAGAGATGCAAATAAATCAAGCCATCATGGAGATATAAAATTCTCTCACTCCTGTCTGCTAGTTTTAATGAAAGCCTCCCAAGAGCTCATCCCTCTTTCAAACTTTCCCTTAGGACGGTGTCTACGATCTACAGGAGGCCCTTCACGTTCTTCATACGCGCCAGGACGCTGTGAGAGAGCAGCTCGCAATCGCCAAATCTAAAGGAGACGAGACGATCAGACTTAGTCTGCAGGTAGTTTGAGTTTGTGTTAAGTTGATGTATCGCAAAACATGGTGTCTGTCGTTTGCATGATTTGTTTGAAACTTTCGTTTCGGTGTTTAAATATTTGTCTAAACTAAAGTTAGTTTCAATATTGTTTGACTTTGAACTCTGTTTCAAATATTATTATTTTTTTACATTGTTTGAAAAAGTCATGAAAATGTTTTCATTTGAACCGTCTTTTGTTTCAAAGTTGCTTTAACTCTATTTGGAAACAATGTTTGAATGTTTTTAAAGGTTTTTTTCAATTTTTGAAAGGTAGATTCAAAGTTATTTTAACGTTGTTTCAAAGGTGCTGTATGTAATTTTTTATTACACTTTTATTTTTTTACTAAAGCGCAAAAATAATTGCAGATATTTTAGAAAGTTCACACACTTGTTGATCTACTTTGAAATGTGAGTTCCTATCTGTTTGAGTTTTGGTCTGTGTGATCCCGCCCACTGCCAATTTACCCAATAGTATTTCGACATCCCAGGTTGCCAGTTGGCGGAAAACGCTGCGTATAGCGGTGGAAGCTAGCAAACAAACTGCGTCAGAAATCACAGATTCTACCCGACCTAAAAAGCATCAGCATCCATCTAAAAAGCTGTATATCCAGAGGCATATTAAAATGTGGATAAATCAACTCATCAACTTGCAGTGTGTAAGTCCCCTTAATTGCGCTCATTTGTTGCGTGTCCTCAATCTGGCAACCGTCGAGTCTGAGAAGGAGGGGGCATTTCAACTACTACTGTAGCTGTCAATATTACATACTGCACCTTTAATGTTTGAAATTTGTTTTTAGAAATATTTTTTTAAAGCTTTTTTTTTAACAAAATAATTATTTAGAAAGCGCTTTGAATGTTTATTTTTTTGTTTGAACTTAGTTGTTTTTTTAGTAAATGTTTGTTTTAAAGTTGCTTGAACCTCAGTATGTTTGGAAACAATTTTTGTTCGAATGTTTTGAAAGGTTTTTGTTTTGTTTTTGTTTTTTACTTTGTTCGAAACATTTAGTAAATGTTTGTTTTAAAGTTGCTTGAACCTCAGTATGTTTGGAAACAATTTTTGTTTGAATGTTTTGAAAGGTTTTTGTTTTGTTTTTGTTTTTTACTTTGTTCGAAACATTATTTTGAATTAGGGCTGTCAAACGATTTAAAAACGATTAATCGCATCCAAAATAAAAGTTTGTGTTTACATAATATATGTGAGTGCACTGTGTATAATTATTTTATATATATAAATACACACATGCTTGTATATATTTAAGAAATATTTTCATGTATGTACTGTATATAGATTTATATTATATATAAATCTAAATATTTTATATATAAATATTTTTTTCTTAAATATACATGCATGTGTGTGTATTTATATATACAAAATAATTATACACAGTGCCCCCACATATATTATGTAAACACAAACTTTTATTTTGGATGCGATTAATCGCGATTAATCGTTTGACAGCCCTATGTTGAATATATACCTGTTTGAAATGTTGTTTGAATACACTGCCTTTTTGAAACCTTTTTGTGAACGTTTTCCTGTTCAGTTCACATTTAGTGTTTATGTGTGTGTAGGGACAGCTAGACTCTCTGCTGACCAAGCAAGTGGAGCTCTTGCGTGATGCTGCCATCCAGGAGAGATTGAAATCGTTGGACTGGCGGATTCCCACAGCGGCACTGAAATACCTCGCACCCACCGCTCAGAACTGCAACAGCAGTCTCTCACATCTCTCTGGTACGTTTCTCCTTATATGCGTACTATTATTTTGAAACTGTTGCAATTTTACAACAGTGGTTCGAGTGATTTATCAGTGGTTTGAGTATACGTACCTTTTTGTGCTCAAATGCAGGCGAGAGACCCCTAAACTTGCGTCTGACTGATGTTCCACTGGGCAGGCAATTGGCCAATGAGCTGAAGCGACATCATAAACAGAACGCAGAGGAACGACATCATAACCAGCAGAACTCTGAAGAGAGAATGACGGCAGTCACAGGTTAGTGACAGATTCTTCACAACTTTGAGCCAGAAAAATACCCCATAATAAATGTATCTGTCCTGTTGTGTAGTCTAACTTTACTTTGAGAAATGAACGCATATATATATATATATATATATATATATATGAAGAGTTCAGATGCAAAAGCCTCTAAGTGCCATTTGAAATTTTCTTCTAGAATGATCATTTTTATCAAGCTTGTATATTTAAATTCAGTGATTTCACTTAAATGGCAATGATAATTACCTATTAATTGATATTTAAGGGAAATTACTGAACTTAAATGTGCAAGTTTGATAAAAATCATCATTAAAGAAGAACATTTCAAATGGCATTTAGAGGCTTTTGCATCTGAACTCTTCATATATATATATATATATGTGCAAATAGAAAACAGTTACTTTAAATCATCAAAAAATGTCACTTTGATCAAATAAATGCAGCCTTGGTAAGCATAAATTAGTTCTTTCAAAAACATTTTAAACATTTGACAGAGTGTACATAAGCAGCAACATCTTATTTAAAAAATTGATATGCATATGCATATATAATCAGTAAATATTGCAATAGTTTCAGGCAATAATATGTCCTGATTCAGCTCAATAAAATCATATAAATAAGCAGAAATTCTAAGACCTGCAACACACCGTGTGCAGCTTCTCTCTTGTCGCAATGCATTCTGGGATTCCTAGACTATTCACAAAAGATGTATGTGGTTCTGCCTTATAATTTGGCCATAATGTGGGATTTCAGAAGGCAGCGTAACGTTTCCGCCTACCTTTTGGAACAGCCTTCAAATGCTGTCTAGGTAGAGCTGTAATCTTCAAAGAACCGACTCAAAAGTGCTGTGCATAATAAAACAGGTCTTGTTGGACCATGTATTTGCATGCATGTTGTAGCCTGAATTGGCTCTGGTTTATCTCAATATCATCCTGTCACACTGACACCTACACCGCTCCATTAAACCCTGATGTGTCAACGTATCAGCAGGGCTTCAGAGAACTTTTTGTAATGTATGCAATCTCTCGCATGCAAATGTCCTCGCTGAAGGTAGCACTTTCTCTCTGAAACTCCTACCTGCCTGTGCGAGCTGCGTTAGCGCGCCGCGAGTAGGTGAGGAAGGGGGTGAGGATTTACGCGTCTTTTTGACGTTTCGGGTTTTTCTTCCGCCCCAATGTGGGCAGAACCTGATGTCAATCAGTGTCATTTACTGAGCACACTGGTCGTTTGAACTGATTTGAATAATTGAAAAATACATTTTCAACTGTCTATTCGGTTATATAGATTTGAAACAGTAAAAAGTACCACCCTTTATTTTGGCGTAAACACTTACGATATGCTTTTGTTTACTGGAAATGGCTAAAATGTATTTAAAATCCCAACATATTGAAACTGATCTGATGCGAGAATTAAGGCAGTGAGGTTTAAGGTGTTTTTAAAACTACAGAAATGGTAGAAACGACAAATTATTTTGAAATATATTAAGTAGACCCAATACATCCAACGAATTAAATCTAATTAAATACATAGTGCAAAGTATTTTTATTTATTTTGTTAACACTTTACTGTAAGTTGACATTAGTTCAATGTATGTTATCATGAACTAGCAATGAAAAATACTAAATGATTTATTTAATCTGTTATTTTGACATTAAAATCAAAAGTTGTATGTATGTATATACTAGGGCTGTCAAACGATTAATCGCATCCAAAATAAAAGTTTGTGTTTACATAATATATGAAGAGTTCAGATGCAAAAGCCTCTAAATGCCATTTGAAATTTTCTTCTTTAATGATGATTTTTATCAAACTTGTATATTTAAGTTCAGTAATTTCACCTAAATAACAATTAATAGGTAATTATCATTGCCGTTTAAGTGAAATTACTGAACTTAAATATACAAGTTTGATAAAAATCATCATTAAAGAAGAAAATTTCAAATGGCATTTAGAGGCTTTTGCATCTGAACTCTTCATATGTGGGTGCACTGTGTATAATTATTTTATATATTTATAAACACACACACATACATGTATATTTAAGAAAAAAATATTATTTATATATTTTATATTTATATATAATATACATTATATATAAATCTATATACATGAAAATATTACTTAAATATATACAAGCATGTGTGTGTATAATATATATAAAATAATTATACACAGTGCACCCACATATATTATGTAAACACAAACTTTTTATTTTGGATGCGATTAATCGCGATTAATCGTTTGACAGCCCTAATATAAAAATAATATAAAAGTTTTATCATTAATTTTGAGAAATATTATTAGCTAAATATTTATTATTTCAGTTATTTAAATTATAATAAATTATTATTTATGCTTGATTTGACTAATGCCTCATTCTAGAACTTTGAAATTTTTAAGTTGTTTTTTTTTTTAAATTCCACATAATCATCTTGAATCTCGATTCCACACATTTCTTCATAGCCATTTAACTTTATGCAAGCAAGCTAACCAATTGATGCATAAAACAAATTAATTGTGACTGTCACAAGTTTGGAATTTCACTCATCGGCCATATTCGAAACGATTTGAAATCACCAATTAAATCTGACAATTGTCTCAGAAATTTGGTTTCTAAATGCTCAAATCATAACAAAAAAATGAAATTTTCAGGTTAGACTATCTTTTAAGGCAACTGGAGTGACGCAATGACTTTACCATTTAACCTATGGCCCTGTCCACACTACTGCGTTTACGTTAAAAAACGGAGAATTAAAACGAATACGATCTCTGTCCACACCAGCGTTTTATCTGCGTATTAGAAATGATCTACATTAAAATGACTGAAAACGCGGATCACGTGACCATTCACCAACACTGGGCATGCACGTGCCGGTGTAAACAGTGATTGACGAATCAGGGAAGGATAAGTCATGACTGATAACACCCAATCATAGAGCCTGCGTCAGCGTTTTTGAAGTCTTACGTTTTGTCTCGTCCACACTAAAACGCCCTCCGGATATTTAAAATGCAAAACGGAGCTGCAGCGTTTCTAAACTTCTCCGTTTTAGGTCTTCGTTTTTCCCGTTTTAGTCTGGACGGGAGGTGCAAACGTAGCTAAAGGTCTCCGTTTTTAAATGAAAACGCAGTAGTGTGGACGGGGCCTATGTCTAAGCCACGCCCTCAAATGCGATGAGCCAAATCATCACAGTTCGCAGCTAACCCAATACGCTCGGACATTTTCTGCTTCCACGTCGATTGAAATGCATTGTAGCTAGTCGGTTTTCATTCGTTTTTTCTTGTCATTTTAAGTTTAAAATGGTCAAACGGTGTGCATGGGGTACATGCAGCTCCGACACTAGTTTCCCGAGAGGCTAGGCGACGATGTGTATTTTTTTTTTTACCCTTTCCTAAGCCACATCTCAACCGAGATAAGCGTCTGCTCTGGATCAAGTTGTGCACCATCTTCGTACATCTAAAGTCATTGATTGTAATCCATTAACTTTTTGTTTCAGAAAACGGGTCTCAAAAAGAGCTCAGGCTTCTGGACAAGAAGATCATCAAATCAGAACCAGAGGACTCCAGATAACGTCTTCAGCCTCTGAATGAAACCTGCGTTGTTGTTTGCTCATACTGAAACTGTGTGGCCTTAAGAACTGTAAATGCCCAGAGATCAATTTATTTTGATTTTTAGTTTTTAAAAAATATTTTTTATTTCTAATAATATAACAAAAAAAACATGAACATCTTGCAGTCGGTGTACACCAAGAAATTGTCTAAGAGCGTATTTGTGACTGTGCATCTTTTTGTACATAGTCTCTGTTCGTTTATTTGATTGCATGTCTTATTCGTAAACTATTTTTATTTAAACTATTCGTTATTCAACCGAAGCACTCCCCAACTGAAGTTTCATAGGAAACGGTTGTGTAGTCCTTAGATTAGTTGATCATTTTAAAGTTAAATGATGACATTCATCTGTTCGTAACGGTTTGTCGGTGAGGATGAACTTAACGTGTTACTTCGTAAAAGAATACTGAATATGTAGAATTAGCTTTGCGCGTTTTTGTGATTGCGTCACTTTAGATGTTAGTACTTGAAAAAATTGTGTTCTGTATTTGTTACCAGAAACCAGCAAGGCCCATTCACACCAAAAACGATATCGTTAACAATATTAGCATCCACACCAGTGGACGATATCGTTATGTTTATTCTAAGCGCATGCTGCAGTTTTGTCGTCTGCCACTTTAAATTCTAGAGTTCTTTAAATCTGGTGGATTCTGATTGGCTGTCATTGTTTTTATTGTTCTTCAGCTGGGGAAGAAAATAGTTCTGAAAGTGATTGCAGCGATATCGTTTCTCTGTGATGTTATCGTAATAGCTATGGTGTGAACGATTTTTAGAACTATATCGACCTTGGGGTGAACAGGCCTTAATTCTCAGCATACAATATTGTGTATTTCGCTGTCAGTAAACGTTAACCGTTACATTGTAACTGATTTTTTTTCCGCAAAAAAATTTCGCAAAATTTTTTTCTTCAAACGTCGGTGTTTTGTTAGTTCGCTATGCTAGTCTGTTGTGTCTTTTTCTATGCACATTTGTCATGTTTCACTCTTCCGTGTCTTGTCTTTGTGAAATCGTTCTACAAATAAAAACCAAACTGGAAAAATATATTCACAAATTTTTCTCTTCACTTCAAGCGTTCTAAAAAATATACATGTTAATAATAACATAAACATGTTAATGCGGAGAAGAGGGGAAAAGGGTGAATTATAATACAGTGCTTTCACGTTTTCTTGAAAATTTGCATTTGCTCACACAATTTTGGGAGGAAACTGTATTACTTTTGCGAGAGAAATGTGCGAGAGAAACTAATGCTAATTTTCTTCTGCGAGAGAAATTTTCATTTTCTTTTGCGAGAGAAACTAATGCTAATTTTCTTCATGTAACATAAAGCCTATGAAGCAAAGGTAAAAGCATTTAAAAAAAATTTTCCCTCCATCTAATCTTTTTCCATCACCATGTTAAATGTAAGTATACAATATCAATAAATTTAATACTTTGAATTTTAGATAAAATATTATTAAGATGTATATATATATATATATAAAGTCGGCACTGAAAGACTTCCCTAGTATGGTGACTTAAATATATTAGTACCCATTTTCATTTATGATTGCCATTAAACTTTATATAAGCAAGCTAACAACATAAAAACGGTTTATTGTTAGAGGCGGTCTAAAAACGAGGCTCAATCTGGAAGCAGTTTAAATTGAGTTGATCCAAGCAGCTTCCTGTTCTGTTTATGTCACACAAATACGTTAATGCTGAAATGCGCCCACGCTCTATACACACACACACAATGTGTGTGTGTTCACCAGTCGCTTAGATCTACAGAAGCCTGACTCGGGTGTTCCTCGGGAGACACGTCAGTGAGCAGCAAATGAATCTCTGCGTGCGCGCCTGTGGTGACCCTGTGCTCGTGACCGAGATGTGTGGGCGGGGCCTGAATGTGGGTGGAAACATTTCTAACAGCAAAGGCTTTTGTCTTGATGATGCAGTCGTGGGATAGATACGGATAGATAGGGTGAGGTGCACCTGGCTTTTGTATTATTATTAAAGATCCACTGGTCGGGATTAGCAGGAAACAATGCAAAACATCATCTCTTCAAAAAACAAAACAAAACAAAAAACAGTAAAGATTTCTGTCTGAAACCTTTATTTTGGCTCGGCAGTGCAGGATTTCCCATGACGCATCTCCTACATGATTGGGTTTAACCAATGTGTGTTTCCTGATATCTCACTCTGTTAAAGGCCATGTAGATCATCTTGCCTCAATGGGATAGTCATAACATGGCTTATTCTAAATATACTACTTTTAAAATCTACTTATTGTGCATTAAAATAAAAGGTAATATAATATATAAATAAAAACAGCAAATGAAAATTATAATATATATTGTAATATATATATATATAATATATTTTATTATTAATTAGAATGATTCTCTCTCTCTCTCTCTCTCTCTCTCTCTCTCTATATATATATATATATGGATTTTTTTATTAAATAAAATTTCAAATATAACAAAATATAATTTTATATAGATTATGGTTCTAAATAATAATGAGTTTATATATTTAATAATTTATATATACAATAAATTATTAAATATTTAAATAATACAAAATAAATATACACATGTATATATGCGAATAGTATGTTTAAATATAAACATAAATATATGTTTATATATAAATCAAAATGTCTACCTTAATAAAAAATGACTACATTTTTGTCTGTTTAAATATTATTATATATTTTAATTTGTGCGTGTGTGTATATATATAATTGTTATGTACTCCATTTGACTGTATAAACAAAAGACTGGTATTTTTTAAATTGCCCACAAGGTGGCAAAAAAGCCTAATGTATTGGCACGCTTTTGTAAAATGAAAAGAGTGCGTAATATGCACAGTTATTTAATCTAATTGCATATTTGTATAATGTTCCATTATAAATAATTATATACATGTTATTGTCTTTGCTGTGAGAAAAAATACAAGTATTGATCATTAATACACTTTTGCAAACAAACACACTTTAGTTAGGAATCAGTTTGATAGCTGATTGATTAGACTGGTGTAGCAGACGTTTTGGATGCAAGCAGGCTTTCAAATCCACATTGAACTATGCAGGTTGGATTTGAGGATATCCAGAACAATAGCCCGTATTGTTGTGCCAAATTCCTCAGTCTCACGTCTAAACATACAGTAGAAGACCTCGCTGAGACTTTCACTGTGTTTGCATTGGCGCTTATAATAGCAGGCCAGTCACCCGTTGAGAAGCTCTGAACACACAGGGCAGTACCGCTGCAATTTTGCATTATATTATCTCACAGATGTAAGAATGGCACTCTGACCAACTATTAAACAAATAATGGGTAAAATTCCCAGCATTTGAAGGTCATTCACACATAAATATTTGTGTGTGTGTGTTTCCGAGCTCATAGCTGTAGTAGTGATGAGGTGACGTGAGGTTACATAGCCTACTGTTATGCATACTATTTTTTTCACATACAGTATGTAGTGTGTACTGCACACACTACGCACTACGCAGGACGCACACAACCAGCCTCACCAGGCGCAGGAAAGTGATGGGCGTCATAATGATGATTGACGGAAGTTCGAGCCAATCAGCGTTCGCCATGACGTGACAGCGACCAATGGAGTCCGAGCAGCATTTCGATTCTGTCGTCGTCACTCGCGTGAAAACACCGAGCAGGGGAGACGAGGGAAGAAACCGGCACGACTATTTAAAATAACGAATATTCCCATAAACAATACTGTAAAATTTCTAGTACTATTGTCGGAAATTACTCTGTTTGGCCTGTCGATTTTGAAATGTTATCGTTTAGGTTCTCGTGGGCGTTAAAGGAGTTTTGCAAACCCAATCTAAGGCTCATTTGGAAAAATAATTCGGATCATACAGTAACCGCCGGAGGATGCGCATCTTCATATGGACGGTCCTTGTGCACGCAGACAGATGCGAGCAACGAGAAGTGAGTAGTGTTGAAATACAAACCAGCTCAAACCCTCAATCATCCATGCGGGGGTTTTACAGGGTCATATATCAGCTTTGGTTTCACTTTTTTAAATGGATTTGACCCATCCGTCCATCCATTCATTCAGGAGGTCATTGGAGGTCCAGCATCCCGACAAATGAATCCCAGACATGATCACGATGATGGATGTGAAAGATTGTTGTACTATATTTACAGCTTTATATTTTTTAGGTGGACAAGATAGTTAGCCTAGTATAAATGATGAGGGGCAAATTCCCAGGGGCCTTTGTGAATAAACGATATTCACAAAGGCCAAAAAAAAAAAATATGATTTTTTTGGTACAAGTTAGGATGATTCGGTTGTGTAGAAGGTTCTAGATTCTTTCATTGTGATTTAAGATATTTGGGCCCTAAATGTTAAAAATAAGTAGGCCTGTACTGACTAGGTTAGAAATTCGATTAGCTAAATGTGCAATTTGATTGTCTTTACTATTTTAATGTAAGTAAAATTAATGGTAGACTGATTAATCACTGATATTTTGTTGTCACGAGGATCCTTGTCCAACTCTTAAACCCACTGACAGCTTTGAAAGGGTAAAAAAAAAGAAGGGTGAAATCTCTGTTTACTTCCAGGAATTTTTCAGACTTATTTTTATTTATTTTAATTATTTTTTTAAATAGTTAAATGTTAGTTCCTGTACGGCCAGATCAGCCACTTCCTCTTCCCGTAACGCTGGCATTCAAAGCTCGGAAGTGTCGATTCAGGTGTTTCCTAAAAAAAAAAAACATATTCTCTAAATCTACTGACATGTCAGTATATGCACTGGATGTGTCCGAGTAGCTTATGCTTAAATCTTAGTATGCACTGCTTTCATTCTTTCGGTATGAGGGAGTGTTTGTCCTTGGAGAGACAGATTGACCTTTCTCTCCATCTGGAGTTGTGAAGGTCAGGTCTCAGCTTATTGTAACATCTGTAAGTTTCTGTTTGAGGAAATGTTGTCATTGTTGAAGTTTTTGCCAGTATGCAGTGCGTGTTCCAAAATGTTGTGAGCCCTATCCGTTACCTTCATAGGTTGCTGCCTTTAGTGATTAATTTTGAAAGCTCTACATGGGCAGCAACAAATTGTCAAGTAGCACACAGGAAATACAATTTGCTATTAAAAAATACTTTTCAGAGTTGTTAGCATTTTGCTAAGCTAACAGCATAATAAGTAAATAGTATACAGGAGACATGAATCATAATTGATTTGAGTAGAGTTTGTTGTTAGCATGCTGTTAAAGGACAACTCCGGCGCAAAATTAACTTTTGGTCTACTTACACATCGGTACCTAGTCGACCGTTCTCTGACATTTGTTTTCATGATTATCGAATGTAAAGAGTTTTATCTCTAAAACTGTTTAGCTTATAACGCTAGTATATGGGGCATAGAGTAATGAAAATAAAAATCGCTAGTTTATACCACGGCACTAACCAGGCTCAAAATAGCCCAACACTAACACTGTAGCATAATCAGGGTCCCTACATGAAAACCGAAGCATTGAGAATGTTGTAAGTGTATAGACCGTTTAATAAGAAGATATTTTACAAAGGCAGTCCACTTCGCGAAAACAGGCAAGAGCCATCTTTGGAAAACAGTTTCGAGCAGTCGAACCACGAACGGCGTTCGTGGTGACATAAACAAACGATGAGCCGAGTGAACATGCAAATTCATTCCCTGACATTAGATGGCGCCACTTTGCTCTGCAATACCACTCCATATCAGTTTTCTTTTATCAAGATGTTTGTAGCCGCTGTCGCGTTTGTCATATAGTTTTTTTTGTTCTAGCACCAACGAGAACAGCAGCTCTACATTCATCTTGCCTCGCATCTTCCTCGTCTTATTTGGCTGTGTAGACGGCGACGCTACTTGGCATATATCTTCTTTATACGCCAAAAAAGACCGTTTTATGTTTGAGCGCCCCCAAGTTGTGATTTAATGCTACAAACCCGTGAGCAAATGTGCCAATCTCATTGGTCGGATAATTTTTGACGCAGCGCGTCAAGCTAAAAAAACAAACCCGAGGCGTTTTTTTAAAAAAATGATGCTTTTACACACGGCGTTTTACGCGTAGGTGTGCACACTCACATTGGCGCCCTTTTGTTTTGTCACAAGGCGTTAAAAGTTGGCGAATAACGCGCACGAAATTCGTTCGGTGTGAACAGGCCTTTACATAAAAAGTAAAAACAAATATTGGCTTCTAAAGGTAACAGTTACTATTGGCTTCTGAAACAGTTACTGTAACTATACATTTCTAATCATCATTTTAATTCTATGAGAATATGGAGGTCCACACCACAACTATACCGATAACAACACAGTGGTATCAACACAATCATTTTCAAAATGATTTTTCCAGCGGATAAACGATAAAAACCTTGACAGCCAATCAGAATCCACCTGATTTCAAAGAGCATTTAAAGTGGCAGATGGCAAAACTGCAGCGCGCTTATAATCAACAGAATGTTCTCAGTCTGTTAGATGTGAATGGGCCTTAATATCAGTTTCCGACCGATAATTTTAAAATATGCCGAATTGCCGATATTAGATGATAGTGACCAATATATTTTGTATATGTAATTTTCATAGTCAACAAAGATTGTTAATACTAAAATTATGGCTAATTGTACTTTTAGTTGTTTCTGTTGGATTTAAAGCGAATCCTGGAGTGCGAACACTAACGGGAGTATCAAATGAATCACCTCACAGCAGACTCGCTAGTCTTTGAGATTAATCTGACATGAAGGCACCAGCTGACTCTGTGTGTGTGCGACACTGGAATTGGTGGCATCTCTGTGTGCATTGAAATCATGCCAGGTTATGCCTGAGCATCCTCAAGCAAATGATATAAACCCTCTTCTTTTTATGCAGTGGAATATCCCATTAGAAAATCATGGTAATGCTATTGTATTTTTCAGTTAGTGGCAGCTGGTTCATTTCCTGGTGTGTTTATTCACTGCAGGCCAAAACATATTGCAGTGAATCTCTAAGCATGCGATTCTGTGGGAGTGTCAGCTGTTTTACTGGTTGTTTGACTGATTCTCGTTGAGGTGTAAGAAGATAATGAAGATATTGTTACAGAATCATCCCACTTCCAGGTGTTCTCAAACACACACAGCCGTCCTCACAAAAATTTTTGGGCAGGGTTTGTAATTCTTCCTGAGGCATTTTCAGAAATGTATTTCAAGGACAGCAAAACCTTCACACACACGCTATCTTTGTCTTTTTAAAGGAGTAGTTCACTTTAAAAAAAAACGTTTGCTGATAATTTACTCACTCCCATGTCATCCAAGATGTCCATGTCTTTCTTTCTTCAGTCGAAAAGAAATTAAGGTTTTTGAAGAAAACATTCCAGGATTTTTCTCCATATAATGGACTTCAATGGGAACCAAACAGTTCAAGGTCCAAAAGACAGTTTCAGTGCAAACCGCAAAATGTTCAAAGGGCTCATTTAAAAAAAAGTTTTTATAAGCTCAAATGGTCGCCTTGCTCTGTTCTGTGATGCGCATTCGTGATTCTCCTGTTCGAACTTGTTCATCAAAATGAACGAATCTTTTTTTGTGTGTCATTTGGTTGATTCAACAAACGAAATGAACGAATTGACTCGGAAAAAGATTCGGTCATTTTGATGAACGAGTTCAAACAGGAGAGTCACGAGAGTCATTTATAATTTATAAATAATGTAAATACCATGGTACATGAGAATCATATTCATTCAATACTACTGTATGGTGTCACCACAACGAAATATGAAAATTTTAGCCGATACCAAAAATGTATATTTGTCCTTTGTTAAGCGTCCTTGGGTACTTTGAAAGGTGCTATATAAATTAAAGTTATTATTATTATTATTATATTTGAAAGCCGATAACCGATATTTTGGCCGATAAATTTAAATCCAAATTTTTATCGAATTTTTGAGAGCCTTATCACAAAAACAAAAGTCTCATCAATCAACGCCATGTCCTAAGAAAACAATTCTAATGTAATAATTTTATGTTTCCAATCATATTTCAAGCCATTCAAAACTATCATGGCAAACAGTTCGCATCTTAAGTGCCGTTATGTAATCCATTATTTATCGGCTTTAATGTATTGGACAAATAACGATAACATTAAAAATGAACATATATCGGCCGATACCGATATGGTTGCCGATATATCATCCATCCCTACTGCTTCAAGACTGACGAAAACGATAACTTTAACTAGTTTTCTGGAAAGTCTTTTAAAAGCTTTTACAAGAAGTCAGAGTTATGTTTTGAAAAATAGTAGTTTATATTAAAGTATAAAATTTACTGGAAAAGAGTTTATACATTTCAGAAGTAATCCAATTTGGATGCTAATCATGCTAAGCCTGTTTTGTTACCAACTGTTCTCATCTCATATAACTGTTACATGTTAAATAACCATCATAAAAACAAACAAACAATGTTTTATTGAGCTGCGTCATCAAGTGGATTATTTCCGGTGCGGTTGTGTGTAAAAATAGCGACGCCAGAGAGTCCGTTTGGCACGGTGCCGGTGCATTAGTGAGGATCAGATCTGAGAACTTGCTAGGAAGTGAAGGCTTAACTCAGCATCAGTGTACGGGACGGGAGGAGTGGCTGCTCTTGTCAGGTTACGTGTCCTAGTTTAATGCCGCATCAGAGCCAAGTTGTGTTTGGCACATCTGATATTGTTTTGACTATAGGCTGTACTAAAGGCCAATATTGACAAGGCTGATTAATCAACCAATGTTTGTCTGTTTTGTGTCCTGTGTCAGTTTTAAAAATGTATTGACAGCCTCAACATTGGATAATATTTTTTAACCCTAAAACTGTATTCTGGACAAATGTGGGCAAAATAGTTTTGATTTATTTTTAAAAAATACTTCCCTTGATCTGAGCGGTATAAGACTTGGCTACTTTTCCTAAGTTTCCCTCCTGAACACACACACATTTTTTTGACTCAATTCTACAATGTTAAGTGGGAAAAAACTCCTTAATCATGTATTTGGGTCAAAAATGGGCACCCATAGAAATGAATGGGAAAAACTGAAATTCTAAAATAAGTGAAAATAAGACACCAGGTGACAGCAAAGTCACTTCATCTTTAGGTTTTAGCTCTAAGAACTTATTGGAATGATATTTTAATGTACTTAAAAAATAAAAAAAATTAAAATAAGCATAATTTACATAGAAAATATGGTACTTTTTGAAGTAAATAAATTCAAAAATACCCCCAAAATAAAAAAAACACCCTAAATGGATAGACAACTTTATCGAAGACAGTGATATAACATAAAAATTAAGATCACACCTGAGTCCTCTTTGCCCACATTTGTCCAAAATTAAGATTAAGTGCTATAAAGTGAATATGGTTTTAGGGTTAAAATAGTTATTTATGGTAAACATTATGTAAAATGTTTTTTATTTTTTTATTTAAAATGTTATTTTTTTATACATTTAGTGGGTGTATATTTATTTATTAAGTCAGTGTTTTATATGTCTGAATGTGTCATTCATTTCTGTTTTATTTCTCTCTCTTTTGGTTGGTCTGCGAACTTTGCATTTTTTTGTGTAAGTATCATTTTAAAGTTCATTTTATTTGATGCCATTTATTTTTCTCTTCCAATTGTTTCTCACTCCTGCAAAATGTTATGCTTGCATTTCCCATTCCCGTTCAGTGTTCTACCATCCCGAAATGACATCAAAAAGGCCTTAAGTCGCTATTGGTCACTATTGTTTCAACCTACAAACAATTTTTCAACTGGGTTTAAGAACAATATTTTTTCCACCAACTTACCGTTACTGAAGTTAGTGTCTTAAGTTCATTTCGGGATGGTTTGTTGTCGGTTTACAAACCAAAGTGCTTCTTTTTCAAGGCCTTACTGTATATGGGATCCTGTACCTTTCCCAGAAACTTCTAAATTTACTGTTGGAGGTCCTTGGAAGTTTTATTCCCAAATGCTTTACTAAGCTTCTGCTTAACATAGTAAACCTCTGCAAATCCATATGATGTTACACAACTACCTTTTCTAACAGACTAACCTTTTTCAGATGACCTCAAAATGTCAGTCAGTGGTATAAAAAAATCCTTCTTAAAGGTTGTATCAGCGATTGTGCGTGACGTCACTTCTGTTTGTGTTTGAAGCGAGATGCCAAACAAACCGAGTTAGCTCGCCCCTCCCTCCCATTCGCGCATCATGAAAAACTCACACACTTAGGCTCAATCCCAATTCACCCCTTGCCCCTCCGTTTTGCGCTTTCACGTCTAGGGGTAGGGAGTCCCGATTCATGTTGAGATCGAGGGGTAGGGTGAAGGGGTAGGGCTACATAGCCATCGAAACGGAGAGGCACACTTCAAACGGAGGCCTACGAGAAAGTTCACGGAATGCATCGCAAATCACCGGCGAGATGGATTCGCAAACGGTTAAACATTTAAATGTAGCGCCAGATGATTCCACCACGCACTTTATTTACTCTTATAATAACACTGTAGTCGTTTAAACTAAGAAATGGTACAACAAATTACCTTTCCGATCAGAAAAGACTAGGGCTGGGGACCGAGTTCGGTACTTTTTAGGTACCGACCGAATTGCCTCGGTACTACCGAGTATCGAAACGCGTCTTGTTTTTTGGTACCAAATTTCGGTACCTAAATGGTTAATCTCGTCAACGTCATCCGTCTTCGACCGCAAGAACTGGAACACTCAACATATAGGATACTTGCCTCATAGACATGAGAAATAGGCCTAGACAGTCAAAATATGTCTACTTTTAAACAAAACAATTAGAAATAGTGGCGCTGTGCACGAGCACAAAAACAAACAACACCCGCCTCTGTCGGTGATTGGTTAGAACACTGTTTTATTTTGATTGTGGTGGTGGTTGTACCCATAGATATCTATATAAAGGCTAGATGTCTCACGGCGGAGTATTTATCGTCATCACCGGCGGCCATCTTGTCACAGACAGGCTTTCTGGCGGGCTCTGTGGTATCTGATGTAAAAAAATACTCTCCTCTCGTTGAAACGGTTTGGTTTCTTACAAACGTTATTAACGTGGCTATAATTCTGGATGATTATTTATTTATACACTTATTATTCATAAGCATGCAGTATCATAACTACATCTCTGCCGTTTATAACAAACCAGACCGGTAGAAAATTTAGCAAGTTACGGTGATTTAAAAAGTACATGCACCATTAAAACAATATTACCAGAGCTGCCTGTGACAAGATGGCCGCCAGGTGCTGACGTCGACCTCCATTGGCCACGAGATATCTAGCCTTTATAGATATCTATGGTTGTACCCATTCGTTTTTGTGTGCAGGTCTAAGAGCCTAGGCTCAGAGACGCGTTTTTTTGACAGCCTGCTTATGGGGCAGGCAGCTAGCGGATCGTTAGGAAAGATTAGATGAATGTTATCATTTTTGTTTGGGCCTGAAATCGCTGATACAACCTTTAATGAAATGCTTTATGCAAATGTGTTACAGCTAACTATTAATAAATGAGACTAGTTTATGGAAGATTCTCCTAAAACTGCTCCTAAAAAAATTGCATTAGAAGACCGTTTATGCTATAACCCGCTACAGTGCCCCTAGTGGCAGACTCTGAGAATGAGACTTGTTAGCACGGCCCTTTTTCCATTTTACAAAGATTTGGGTATTTGACTGATGCAATTGGTTTTATTTTATTGAAAATACCTACTTCCTGTCATTTTGAGAGTAATTCTGAAACTAAAAATATGAAATCTCAGTACGACCTCTCCTGCTGCTGAAACCCTTTTTGGTGAATATATTTATTATATTTGTGTTGCCTATTTACTGGATTCTTTGTGTATCCATTCACATCACAGGAGAAGGAAGGCAGGCATTTTGCCCAGCCTGGAAGATCTGCTGTTTTACACCATTGCAGAAGGCCAGGAGAAAATTCCAGCTCACAAATTTACCACGGTAAAAACACACACCTGGCCGAGCAAAGCACAGCCGTTGCTAACATTAGCAGCACATATCTTGGTTTCTAAATAGTTGTGTCTAGAATGACTAATCCTTCGATGTGTTCTGCAATAAAATTGTGGGTTAAATGACACTGAAGATTTGTTGTAAGTTTAGGGTGAATGTTGTGGTTTTTCAGGCACTGAAGGCCACAGGTCTGCGCACTGGAGACCCTCGTCTTAGGGAGTGTATGGAGATGTTAAAGGTCACCCTCAAGACCACTACAGATGGTGCTCTGGATCGACATCTCTTCAAAAAGTAATTATACGAAACCCGTATTTGTTTACAGGTTAAAATTTTAAAAGTTAAAAGTTTTAGTTAGAAAATAAGAATATATTTAAAAGTTTTAGTTAGAAAATAAGAATATATTGCAGTGCTGTTGTGTTTATCCCAGTTCTCAGAGAGTTTCTTCAGTCTGTTGAAGTCCAGTTGCTACTGTCACTGTTTTCATAGGTCGGCAATTTTCCTAGGACATTTTTTAAAGGTCCTTTTGATAGTCCTGCAGTATATGAATTATTCAGTATAGCTAAAAAAAAACCCCAAAAAACTAAGATTTGAACATAACATCATACAGCTTTTTATATTACAAGTTTGGGCCTTTTATATTGCATGGTAAATATTTAGAAATATATTAGAATATAATAATATATTTTTATATATAAAATATATTTAGAATATAATAATATGTTATTATATTTCTATTAGAAATTTCTATTAAATAATAATTAGAAATAGAAATAATGAAGTAGTTTCAAATATTTCAATTTTTTAAAATAATTCAGTTTCCAGAACTGTTTGCAAAACAATTACTAATTTCCACAAAAGCTTTAGCATTACACTGTAAAAAAAATATTTTCAAGATTTGTTATCACAACATTTTTTCCTTTGTCAAATCAACTTAAACAATTTATTTAGTTGAGATAACTTATTATTTTGAGTTTCTGATGATTAAATCAATCTCCTTCATTGTATTAACTCACATTTTCCAATTCAATCAACTTAAAATTTTAAGGCGACCAGGTTACTTACTTTTTTAAGTTAAACCAACAATATTTTTTTTACAGTGTAGCTAAAACTTTAGTCATTTTAGTATTAATTTCCAATTAATTATTTATATTTTTCATTGCTAAGGAAACATTTCTCATTTTTTAGGTTTAAATTTAAAGAACATTAGTTGAAAAATCGACTAATGTATTTTTTTTTCAGCTTTATTTCAAGTTTCTAATAGTTAGGCCTAGTTAAATGATAACAACCCTGATTTATATGAACGCTTAAGTCACAATCTTCACTTTTCTCTTCCTACAGGTGTGTGCAAAGCAACATTGTGTTGCTAACACAGGCTTTCCGGAAAAAGTTTGTCATTCCCGACTTTCAGTCGTTCACCTCTCACATCGATCAAATTTACGAGAGCGCTAAATCAATGTCGGGTGGCCAGGTACGCTTAGAAGATAACACGCACACAGGGTGAATTTCTGATGTTATTTGTTTACAAATATTTTTATTTGCCACTTTTTTGTGTAGGTGGCAGATTACATTCCTCAGCTAGCGAAATTCAGTCCTAATCTCTGGGCCGTTTCTCTCTGCACTGTAGATGGTCAACGGTGAGTTTTCTGTCTTAAGTAAAATAGCCACATTGTTTCGATTTTGCTGTATTTGTGTTCATATTTTCTGGTGTAGATTGATCAAACATTTATGGCCTGTCGTAATTCCTAACCTGACGTTTTGTGTGTTACAGATACACTGCGGGTGACACGAAAGTTCCATTTTGTCTGCAGTCGTGTGTGAAACCGTTAAAATACGCAATTGCGGTTCACGATCACGGCACCGAATACGTGCACCGCTTTATAGGGAAGGAACCCAGCGGCCTTCGTTTCAACAAGCTCTTCCTTGACGAAGAAGGTAAGGATAAATATTTCCGAAACTTATTTTGCATGAGGAAATGGATAGAATTAAATGAATGCTCTTGTTCTATTTAATTCCAAAATCAAAAGAAAGAAATTAAACACTTAAATTACATTTTTGTGTGTGTTATCACATTATTTTCAAGACAGTTAAGCACATTGTTCCCTATAAGCAAAAAATTCTCATTACTGAAAAAAATATATATATTTATTATTTGTTGTAATGTATTGCATTTATAAATCATCTACATAAAACAATTATATACTTTGAGAATTGTAGTAAAAATATGCTTTATTTATTGATTCATTCATCTTTTTTTTCCAGATAAACCTCACAATCCCATGGTAAACGCTGGCGCTATAGTTTGCACTTCCCTTCTCAAGGTAAATGTCATTCTTTCTCCACATCCTCCTTCTATTTTGATAAAAATGGGGACCCAAAACTGCCATTAGCTGTAGTTTCTGCACAATATGTTAAGCTCAGCAGAATTCCTTTTTTTTTTTTATTGATAGCCTAAATTTGCCTTGCCAAATATTTAGCTTGATGCATTCGTGGATGTTTGACGTGAGAACGAATCAGAGGAACGAATGGATTTAATCTGATTACTTTCCCTCTCTCATCAGATTAAGGTTATGAATAATCATGCTGAAAGGATTATATTGAAGGGAGGGAAGCGGAAGTGGGATGGGGAAAGAGCAAACAGATGCTAGAGAATAATAGGTTTAATTTTTTTAACTATAAATTTACCCCCCCCCCCCCCCCCCCCCCATCAGGTTTCTAGTTTCAAACACTAGTTGTAATCAAAATTATTCAACCCTCATTGCAAATCAGGTTTATGGGCAAAATGTACAGACTTTTCGCGATTTGCAATGAACAAATCAAACAGGAGTAATTGATATAGCATAAAGGAGTAGTTCACTTTTCAAACTTTTGCTGATAATTCACTCACCCCCATGTCATCCAAGATGTCCACGTCTTTCTTTCTTCAGTCGAAAAGAAATGAAGGTTTTTGATGAAAACATTACAGGATTTTTCTCCATATAATGGACTTCAATGGGAACCAAACAGTTCAAGGTCCAAAAGACCGTTTCAGTGCAAACTGTTCAAAGGGCTTTAAACGATTCCAGACGATGAATAAGGGTCTTATCAAGCGAAACGATCACTCATTAAATAAATAAATAACAAAGTTTAGGTTTTATAAGCTCAAATGCTCGCCTTGCTCTGTTTTGTGATGAGCATAAGTGATGAATCTTTTTCTGAGACAATTTGTTTGTTTCGTTTATGGAGTGAACCAAATGACTCGTTGATGAACGAGTTCGAACAGGAAAGTCACAAACGTGCGTCACAGAACAGAGCAAGGCGAGCATTTGAGCTTATAAAATTTAAACTTTGTTGTTTTTGTTTTTTTAAATGTGAGATCGTTTTGCTTGATAAGACCCCTATTCATCGTCTGGAATCGTTTAAAACCCTTTGAACAGTTTGCAGTTTGTACTGAAAGAGACTTTTGGACCTTGAACTGTTTGGTTCCCATTGAAGTCCATTATATGGAGAAAAATCCTGTAATGTTTTCATCAAAAACCTTAATTTCTTTTCGACTGAAGAAAGAAAGACATGGACATCTTAGATGACATGGGGGTGAGTAAATCATCAGCAAAAGTTTTTTCAAAAGTGAACTACTCCTTTAACACAAATCTTTCAGGTGGTTTCTCCAAATTTAAATGAAAATGCCACTTTTATTGACTTCTGCAGTCTCGAAATGATTCAACCCCCTAAATAGAGTGCATCACAACAGCACAAATCTGCAAAACAGGCGTTGTTTCAACTTGAGTTGAATCAGGTGCTTGAGCTAGAGCACATGAAATATCTTTTTATAGAAATAAAAGCGTCATTTGACTGCTTGTTAGAATAATTTTGATTACAACTGTATGTATATACATTAAAACGATGATTAACAATGCTACAAACTAAAATGTTTAAGCAGATATTTATAAAAACATAACTTTTTTTGTGATTTACAAATTTGTGATGAAGATTTGTGGTGTTTAGGGTAAATACACTGCATGATGCGCATCTATCTCAGGCCTGTCGGGGTGGTAATGTGTGATGTCTGTGTGAAGGCTTTTTTGTGGTTTTATTGTTGTTGCGTATTTTACAGCATTAGGAACTGTGGGAAATATTGACCCTCCAACAGGTCAATGACGTTGGTAATTTCCCTTTCATTTATTTGTTTTTCCTCATTGAACAAATCGCAAACTAAGCTAATGCTAAGCTACATTAGCACAAGTCTGACAAATTCATTGCTTTGAATTGAATGAAAATCATATGTGATTCTGTTTAATTAAGGTGGGAAAAGGAATCAAGCTTTATTTTTGTTTTATTTTTTCATTTTTAGTTACTTCCCAATGTACAAATTCAAGTGTTTAACACAGTACTTTTTTCTTTGTAAACAAACATTTCTTCAATGTGGAAAAAAACTAGTTTACTTTATTTTTGAGCCTCAAATAAATGCATTTCATGAGATGTACAATGTCTCACTACAGTTTTTTAAGAACTCTAATAAAAAAAATTACAGACAACAAAAATTTCTAAACAATTTAGTGTTGAAATTGTCCTTTTAATCTTTTAGTTTTCTCAGATTTTCCCAAACCCCCTTTAACAACTTACATTTGTGATTCCACAACAATAATAATACTTACTTGAACAGTTTTCCTTCATTTCTTTGAGTGATGTTACTTGAATCTAGTGAGCCAGAATCCTCATAATTTTTTCCAACCTTCACTTGAAATGCTGTAGAAAAATTAATTTACTACAATTGTCAATCTAATTTATAGAACATCTGTGTCAATGTGTATGTCTAAATAATGTGGTAGTTTAATAATGTTTCCTTTAATTGAATGCCTATGCTTTCAAAAGTTTGTAACTATACAAAATACTTAAATTATACAACACATTCATCAGTTTATTTTAAATTTACAGCAAGGTGGAGGCAATGCTGAGAAGTTTGATTATGTGAGTATAATACAATATAATTTTGGTTGATTTTTATTGTTAATCATGATGAGAGCTGTGGTGTTCAATGCATTGTTTTGTTGTAGGTGCTGAACTTTATGAAGAAGTTGGCTGGAAATGAGTATGTTGGTTTTAGCAATGCTACGTAAGTGTTCAAGATACTAATAATAATGAAATTTCACTATGCTCAACACAAATGTTGATTCTACTTAAAGGGATAGTTCACTTTGAAATTAATTTTTGGTATGTTTTATCTTACCTCAAGGGCATCCAAGATGTGTTTCTTTGTTTCCACAGTTTTTCAATTTTGATATTTTTAGGTCAAACCGTTGTTGTCTGTCAGTCATATAATGGAGGTCTATGGTCACCACCTCAAAGAGCATGCACAGAGAAGTCCAAATTAAACATGATTTAATGACTCGTAAATGTAAGTACACATTGATGGCCTAAGACACGAAACGAGCGGTTAGTATGAGAAAACGAACTGTATTTATATTGTTTTTAACTCTTGTAACCACAGCTACTGTATGTTCAAGTGATCTAAGGGCATGGGCGCTTAAAACGATAGAAATACTGTTCGTTTTCTCACTCAAACCGCTCGTTTCGCGTCTTAGGCCATCAATGTGTGCTTACATTTACGAGTCATTAAATCATGTTTAATTTGGACTTCTCTGTGCATGCTCTTTGAGGTGGTGACCATAGACGTCCATTATATGACTGACAGGCAATAACGGTTTGACCTAAAAATATCAAAATTGAAACTACTGCGGAAACAAAGACACCTACATCTTGGATGCCCTTGAGGTAAGCTAAAACATATCAAAAATTAATTTCAAAGTCAACAATCCCTTTAAAATACAGTACGTTCTCAGTTAAATAGACATAGTTAAACGATCAAGTAGACAGTCAGTAATAAATAGACAATAGATGAATAGATTTTTAAATATGTAAACTAGGGATGCACCGATCCACATTTTTTCACTTCCGATCCGATCCCGATACCCGACTTTGGATATCGGCCGATACCGATACTTTTCCGATACCAGAGCTGTGTTTGCTTTAATATTATTTATCATTATTGTTGATTTTATATGATGTTGAAATAAACTCCTCTCTACAGGCAAGGATGATATGTGCGTATGTATGTCAGTATATATATTAAACAATAGATAGACAATTAAACAAAGATACACATTATACAGGCCTACACAGTGCTTTAATTTCAGGAAGGTCTACTAACATTATTCAGGTATGGTCTAAAAAGAATTATAATAAAGTAATCAAAAGTAAAATAGCACTGCAAAGCTTACCATAGATAGATTTATGCTTATTAGAGCTGAATTAATTCATTCAAGAGCTGTGAGTGATTTTCTCTTTGCCTTTTGTTGTTTGACTCTCAGTAATGTCGCAATCGTCACATTTATACTGCTGCCCCTTTAAGAACGAGTTCAGATTTCATATCTACTGATGCACCATATTTTCTCCCAACTACTTCCATAACTACGTTCATTTTAGACATAAACAGTTTAAGTGTTAATCTCCAAGCCGGTCGGTTTGACATTTTTCTTGTGCAGGCTACATTTGATCGTTTAGACGCGCATATGAAGCCCAGATTATAATTTGCTTGTCTTGTTGCAGTCTGTTTCGGAGCGCGCGCGCATTGGGAACAGCATTTCCTGCGCAAATGTTGTGCTTTTAATAGCTCTCTTTATTATTAAAAGTGTCCCGCAATTTAGCAACAGCAGAGCCTGCATTTTACAACAATCACAGATCGTGCTGATTCTGTCTTTAAGTTTTAGTATTAAGGAGAAATGACAGCGCACCGCCGCGATGGGAAGAAAGTTGGCTAGACAGAATGCGGCTATTGTTTTTAATGGTTTTTTACCTCAATATATTCTTTAATCTTTGGAAATCAGACTAATATCATAGATATAACCAGGCTACGTTTCCTCTGTCGTCACTCATTAAGCAGGGCTGTCGTGTTGTGCGTGCTGTGGGACTGCGTGAGAGATCTCTCTCTTTCTCTTCTGGACTGCGAATTGCAAACATGCATCACAGACAAATAGTTTAATTAATACGGCTTTGCAAACATTGCATTTTGCGGTCTTGCTCTGCTGCGGTGTTTCCAGTGTGAAGTATTTCCACACAGCGAACATGTTGGTAGCTCAATCCTATCCTGCTAGCTGGCTGCAAACTGCGGAATGGATTTCCTGAGTGGGGGTCTGTGTCTCATTGAGCCCTATTTTTTACAGTCTATGATTGAGCTGCACCTCCGTTCAGAATATCCATTCCACAGTTTGCAGCCAGCTAGCAGATTAGCAGGCCCGGGGAATCCCTTTTGCAGTCATTTCAGCAGACAACGTTAAAGCGCAGACATGGATCATAAATATCGGATTTCTCCGCAGGTTGGATCGGAAAAATCCGATACGTGAATTACGCTGGTATCGGTCCCGATACCGATACTGGATCGGATCGGCCCCATCCCTAATGTAAACATCAGCATAAATTCAATTTAAAATTCAGAACTAATCAAATGTTACTACCACACTGCAATCAATTATTGATATACAGTAGTGACACAAACACTTTTTAACACAACATTGATATTAAATGTAAAGTTATTATTTTAGTATAAACTTACTACTATACTACCTTTTCTTTGGACTTTCCTACTTAAAACACAATTCCTAAACATTCTTTCTGTTTCTTGGCAGGTTTCAGTCAGAGCGATTGTCAGGTGACAGAAATTTTGCCATTGGTTACTACTTGAAGGAGAAGAAGGTACACGTCGTTTAAACATTTTACAGTATTTCGAGAACACTGAAAATTGTCTAAAAACATCATTTTTGTAATTTTTGTTTTCCATACTTGCAGTGTTTCCCGGAGGGTACAGACATGATTTCCATCCTGGACCTTTACTTCCAGGTTAGTATAAGTTAAACAACCATTTTCACTCACAGTTTAACTAAAGAATGTTGAAAATGTAAAAAAGCGTAATAGGACCCCTTTAAAAATTTTAATATCAGAAAAACCTATAATTAATCATGATTTTGTTTTGTTTATTTAGCTGTGCTCCATTGAGGTAACCTGTGAAAGTGCCAGTGTGATGGCAGCTACCCTGGCGAATGGCGGTTTCTGTCCAATCACGGGCGAGCGTGTGCTGAACCCCGAGGCCGTACGAGACACTCTGAGTCTAATGCACTCTTGCGGCATGTACGACTTCTCCGGACAGTTCGCTTTCCATGTGAGTTTCGCACGTAAACGCACCTGGGAAATTTCTAACGGTTGTAGTTTCAACGAAACAAACCCAATCACAATCTACGTCAAATTAAAGTTGCGTGTTGTGCTGTAGGTTGGTCTCCCGGCTAAATCAGGTGTTGCGGGAGGCATCCTGCTGGTAGTGCCCAATGTGATGGGCATCATGTGTTGGTCTCCTCCTCTTGACAAATTGGGCAACAGTGTGCGGGGAATCCAGTTTTGCACGGTACTAAATCTGCACCGTCTCGGCTAACTGAGAAGAATTGGTCGATTTCTTGCTCATTTAAATCTATGGTTCTTTCTTTTGGTAGGATCTGGTCCAGCTCTTCAATTTCCACAATTATGATAATTTACGCCACTTTGCCAAGAAACTGGATCCACGCAGAGAGGGCGGAGAACAACGGGTGAGTGACCGATTCAACCTTTCAACCACAAACAACATGCAACTAGGGGTGGGCAATAACCTGGCTTTATTAGTTGCCAGTAAAACAAATATTGAATTAAATTCATAACGACAATGAGAAAGAGTTTATTAGATAAAATTAGGTATATGAACCTTGTATTAAGCTTTCTTACTAGTGCTTGCTTTACTGCTACCAATCATCAGATTGAGTTCATTAATTTGATGTAATAAGTATTATTTGGATTAACTATATTGTGTGTGTGTGTGTGTGTGTGTGTATATACACACATACATACACACACACACACACACACATATATATATATATATACAAAGATTAATTGCAATTAATCACATCCAGAATAAAAGTTTGTGTTTGCATAATATATGTGTGTGCTGTGTGTGTTGTATATATAAATACATATGCATGCATGTGTATTATTTCAGAATTATTTGCACGTAAATGCTGTATATATATAAATACATATATTTATATTATATATAAATATTTTATGTATGAATAACATTTTTCTTAAATATATACATGCATGTGTATGTATTTATATATACAAAATGATTATACACAGCACACACATATATTATGTAAACGCAAACATTTATTCTGGATGTGATTAATTGCAATTAATCTTTGCACAGCCCTAATATATATATATATATATATATATATATATATATATTAATATATATACATAAGTGTATATATATATATATATTAGGGCTGTGCAAAAGTTAATTGCGATTAATCGCATCCAAAATAAAAGTCTGTTTTACATAATATATTTGAGTGTGCTGTATATAATTATGTTGTATATATAAATACCTATGCATGCATGTATATATTTAAGAATTATTTGCGCTTAAATTCTGTATATATATATAAATACATAATCAATATTATAATAATATAAATATTTTATATAGGAATAACACATTTTCTTAAACATATACATGCATGTGTGTGTATTTATATATACAAAATAATTATATACAGCACACACAAATATACTATGTAAACACAGACTTTTATTTTGGATGCGATTAATCGCAATTAACTTTTGCACAGCCCTAATATATATATAATGTATATATGTGTATATATATATGTGTGTGTGTGTGTATATATATTTATATATATATATGTATATATATATATATACATATATATTTGTATATACACATCCACTGTATATATCCCACCTCTATATGCAACTAAAGCAAATGATCCTGTAACGTTGTGAGTGTGTGCTTATGATAATGATTGTGATTATGATAACGTTGTGAGTGTGTGTGCAATTGATAATGATTACATACATACATTACAACTGCGTGCTGACAAACTGTCCTGCAATCTTAATCTGTATTATCAAACATTTCTTTCTCTTGGCAATTGAGTATTTCTTTTCCTCTTCTGGAAGACCAGTGCACTCTCTGCTTTTAACCACCACTAACATCCATGTGACTCGATTGAGGAAGCTAAATATTTATTTGACTGCATGAATTGCATACACCTGCTAATATAAAATATAATATAATAATGATACATTTCTATACTAGACAATAACGCCTCAGTGCCGTTCTGATCGACTGGCTTGCTTAAGTTTCCACCGTTTCCGTGTTTTCTTCTTTCTCTCCCATTCATACTAATCCAAGCAGAAAATTCCACGATGAAATAATCTAATCTGATAATCTATGCATGTCCATTGGTTGAACCGCAGCAGCAGCAGAATCTCGAACCACTGGACTATACGAGCCTTCAGAAGGAACTAGCGCTCACTGACAAAGTGTGGAAAAAAGTCTGTCCTTCCGAGACGGACGAGGACACTTCCACCTCTGTAGTCTATAGGATGGAAAGCGTGGCGGAAAGAAACTAGAAGAGACAACAGCGACCACTCTTCCTCGTTTTGTCACCCATCATTTTCTTGAGTTTATACATCTTAAGGATTAGAGGGGTTGTTTGTCTTGTTTTTGTTTTTATTTTTATTCTATTTATTTTTGTTTTGTTTGGTTCATTTTTGTTTTTTTCTGTTTGATTTTATTTTGTTTTGTTTGGTTCATTTTTGTTTTGTTCTGTTTGATTTTTATTTTGTTTTGTTTGGATCATTTTTGTTTTGCTCTGTTTGATTTTTATTTTGTTTTGTTTGGTTCATTTTTGTTTTGCTCTGTTTGAGTTTTTTTTTTTTTTTGATTCATTTTAGTTTTGTTCTGTTTGATTTTATTTTGTTCTGTTTGGTTCATTTTTGTTTTGTTTGGATCATTTTTTTTGTTCTGTTTTTGATTTAATTTTGTTTTGTTTGGTTCATTTTTGTTTTGTTCTGTTTGATTTTGTTTTGTTTGGTTCATTTTTGTTTTGTTTTGTTCTGTTTGATTTTGTTTTGTTTGGTTAATTTTTGTTTTGTTTGGATCATTTTTATTTTGTTCTGTTTGATTTAATTTTGTTTTGTTTGGTTAATTTTTGTTTTGTTCTGTTTTTTTTTTTTTTTTTTTTTGGTTTTGTTTGGTTCAATTTTGTTTTGTTTTGTTTGGATAATTTTTGTTTTGTTCTGTTTGATTTTATTTTTTTTTTGTTTTTAGTTTTGCCGAGAAGAATTTGTTGGTGAAATGCACACTATTGAATATGCTAAATACCTTAAACCCAATGTGCAATTATTTTGTTACATTTTGGGTTATCAGCAAGGACCAAACAATACAATATCAGTATCTGCGTAACTATACAATAATATTTTGATGCACTTGTTGATTGTATCTTGATTCATATATTTACTGTTTCCCCCCACTGCTAGCTAAAATACTTTCTCCTAGTTTAATATGAAGAGAGATCTTAATTTAGAAGTAAACCATTTGTACATCGACTTCCTGAACCTGCCCTAAACGGCAGCATTGACTTCTTGAGTGTTCAGGAAACCGGTTTGAAAGCAAGCGGTTGTGCAATTCTGTTTGTTGCTGCTAGAGGCACAAAATTACTAAAGTTTGAATTTTTTTTTTAATTAAATTATTTCTGATATGAAACCACAAACACCTTCAAAAAGAATTGTTCTTTACATTTACATTTTTTTATCTGTACATTTATTACATTATTCTTTTTCATTCATCTGTTTTTTTTTATGTGATGTCTAAAAGTTTGGTGAACGTGTTGGTAAAATCTCAGACTGTTAAAGTGTTACTTTAATCCTCCTGTTCACTGGGTTCAATCCAACAGCTACAATGTTTAATTTTTTTTGTTTGCACACACATACACAAATTTGTGTTATTTGTAACTTATAAATGGAAAGCATTGTTGAAGTACAAACCAAACTGTGTTTCAAACCAAACAAGTGATCAACGCTAACCAGAGCGGAACTAGTCGACTATGATCAGGCAGGAAAGATTGGCTTCACAATGCAAGTTTATCTTGATGTCATCCTGTATTCAATTCACCTGTAACCCAGTTCTCACTTGAATTAAATATTTAGTGTATCGGTTTATTGATACCAGAAAAGTTTATCATTACTTTGTCAGTTTAGGAAATCATTTGAGAAACTGATGTTTTGTTTTAATATTTTATTTTTAAGAATGTATTGCTGAATTTAATTTGCTCAGTTATAGAACAGTTGGAAGGGATTTTGATGTCTGTCACATGATTTGTTTCAGTTTTTAAAACAAAAAAGTATTAACATTGAGATTATGGAAAGGTTCTGCGATATGAATGTGAACTGATATGCACAACTATTTAAAAACCATTTGTTTGTGCCAATAATATCTTCTTATTTAATTTTTATTTATTTTGTCATTGTGGTTTACTGTTTTAATAAATGAGTGATCAAAACAAATTTTGTTTTACTTAGTGTGTAGTTTTTCTTTATTGCTTTTTAAAAAAAACAAAAAAAACAATGCACATGTTAGTTTCGTTGCACTGTTTTTTTATTTATTTTTTATTTTTTGCAAATTCGACCCTTCCCAGCTTTGCCGATTTGTCACCCTGATTTCGTCAATTTACCAAAAACGACTCGTCTGTTTTCTTCCAGGTCAAGTCCGTTATCAACCTGCTGTTCGCAGCCTACACAGGGGACGTGTCCGCTCTGAGGAGGTAACGTTACCGCACCGCCATAGTTTTTTTTTTTTTTTTGCATTTACTCTACAGATTTTTCGGAATTTATTTAACTCGATTATTTATGCCAACTTAAAGGGATAGTTCACTTTGAAGTTAATTTTTGGTATGTTTTAGCTTACCTCAAGGGGCATCCAAGATGTAGGTGTCTTTGTTTCCGCAGTAGTTACAATTTTGATATTTTTAGGTCAAACCGTTCTTGTCTGTCAGTCATATAATGGAGGTCTATGGTCACCACCTTGAAGATTATGCACAAAGGAGTCCAAATTAAACATAATTTAATGACTCGTAAATGTAAGTACACATTGATGGCCTAAGACGCGAAACGAGAAGTTTGTGTGAGAAAACGAACAGTATTTATATCGTTTTTACCTCTTGTACAAGTGATCTGAGGGCGCGGGCGGTTTGTGGCTTTGGTAACAAGAGAGAAAAACGATATAAATACTGTTCGTTTTCTCACACAAACCGCTCGTTTCGTGTCTTAGGTCATCAATGTGTACTTACATTTACGAGTCATTAAATCATGTTTAATTTGGACTTCTCTGTGCATGCTCTTTGAGGTGGTGACCATAGACCTCCATTATATGACTGACAGACACGAACGGTTTGACCTAAAAATATCAAAATTGAAACTACTGCGGAAACAAAGACACCTACATCTTGGATGCCCATGAGGTAAGCTAAAACATAGCAAAATTTGTTTCAAAGTGAACTATCCCTTTAATGTTTGTGTTTTGTTTTGTTTTGTTTTTTTTGCGTAGGTTTGCTCTCTCGTCGATGGATATGGAGCAGAGAGATTACGACTCGAGGACGGCTCTTCATGTAGCTGCCGCTGAAGGTAGAGTCAACTCATCTATTGAATGTATTGATGTCATGTTTTTGCTGTCTGTTTCCTGTACCTGACCTTATTTTCTCTCCGCGCTGTGTGGAAATCATGCTAATGTGTAATCTGTGGCTTTCAGGTCACGCTGAGGTTGTGCGTTTTCTTCTAGAAGCCTGTAAGGTGAACCCGGAGCCCAAGGACAGGTACGAAAGAATTTCAAAAACTACTAGCGTAGATCTTAAAGTTTTTTTACATAACCTACGTAACTTTAACGTTACCACTTAAACCGCCAAAATGTGAAAGATATGTCACAAAAGGTTGCAAAACAAATTCAACGTAATTTAATAGTATGCTCTCAAGGTTGTATTTCAATGCATTTATAAGTCAGTTTATTATGCTTAACAACTAACCACTAATTTACTATTATACGAAATCTTGTTTTTAAATGACATAAATCTGGTAAAATGTTTTATTTGTTGATCTATGAAGTTTAATTTAATGTCATGAACTGTTTATTAGGGCCTGTGCACTAACAGTGCGAGGACCTTATTGAAACTGTTACGATTATTTTTTTTTTCTCTTTTTTTAAGCGGCATTTTCGCGGCCGCAACATGCTCAAAAACTCACCAAATTTGGCACGTATGTCAGGACTGGTGAAAAGTTTCGTATTTTGTGGGTTTCACGGACGGGCGTGGCAAAATGGCTCGTTAGCGCCACCTAGAAAATTGGAAAAAATTAGCCCCTCGTCAACGTTCAACCTACATGCACGAAATTTGGTGGTGACGTGTATCATATCAAGACGCACAAAAAAGCCTCAAGAACCCATACCCTAATTTCGACAGGAAGTCCGCCATTTTGAATTTGGCGGCCGTTTTGGGACGATTTACACACTCCGTACTTTAACAAACTCCTAGGCATTTAGTCGGATCGACTTCAAATTTCTGCTATGCCTTCTAAAGGCATTGACGAAGTTGTGCTATCTGCGCGTTTTCGTCGATGGGCGTGTCCGTGGCTTCGATGATTCGCCATGAAACAGGAAGTTGTAGTAACTTGGCTGTAAATGCCCAGATCTGCACGAAATTTTACACATTTGACAAGAGTCCCGCCCTGAACAAATCTACATGCCGACATTCACCCACAGTCATAGCGCCACCTGCTGTCAACAGGAAGTGACCTTTAACGAAGCAGCATAGCAAATTCACAGCCGCACCGGCTGAGCTGCAGAATATGCAACGCGGCCGCCTCACACCCGACGCGCTACAAGTGCGAGGGCCCGCCCATCGCTGCTTGCAGCTTTAATTTTTAATGTGTGTGCTGTACATTCGCCCGTTCGACTTCCATATTAGCGGTTTTGTTTCAATGAAAATGACTTGACGGTAACCAAACTTGGGGTTTGATCTCTGTACAGGTGGGGCAACACTCCCATGGACGAGGCCATTCATTTTGGCCATCATGATGTCGTGACAATCCTAAAGGACTATCACACCACCTACAGCCCCAAGGAGAGCACCGCCGACAGCGAAAAAGAGACCGCCGAGAAGAACCTGGATGGCATGCTGTAGAGTTAAAACACTTATTTTTCCCATTGAGTCTGCCTGTCTGAGGTACGCATTTATATGCATTTATTTAAGAAGAAAACTTACAAATGAGGGGGGAAAAAGAGTCCCTTTACTCTGTTTTGTGGTGTGTGTGTGTGTGTGTGTGTAACCTCTGTTACCATGGTAATTTTGTTTTATAGTACACTCGTACGGTAAATGTAGGAATGTAGCGTCATAAAGGTCTTATTTAGATGTATATCCATGTAAACAAACAATATAATTTCATATACTCAAAACAAGCATATATAAAAAGTGTATATGAACATTCATTTACAGTTTGAGAATCTTGATAGATGATGTCAGAAACGGCAGAGGGAAGCATTGGGTGTGATGTCATTTGGAATTTATTTTTATATTTTTATTTTTTCTTTATCCTCTACTTTAGTCTTAACTTGGTTATAAATCAACAGTAGTAGTTATTTATGCCTTTTTGATTGTGTATCATCTTGTGAACATGTTCCAAATATGACACTGTTCTTTGAATGTCAAAAATAATTGCACTTTTTTAATTAATTTTTTATTATATTTATTATTTATTTGTCTTTTCAAATATTTTTACAAATGCAATTATAGTAACACTAAAGGTGCGTTTTTTTCTCTCTCTTTCCAAGTACGTTTTATCAGTTTTACAATTTGTTAACATTAGGCATCATAAAAATTTATTTATTTGTTATATAATTTAACGTTTTAATAAATGTAGTAAATTGACAATAACCAGGATTAATAAATGCTGTAACTAAAGGATTATTAGGAACACCTGTACAATTTCTCATTAATGCAATTATCTATTCAACCAATCACATGGCAGTTGCTTCAATGCATTTAGGGGTGTGGTCCTGGTCAATACAATCTCCTGAACTCCAAACTGAATGTCAGAATGGGAAAGAAAGGTGATTTAAGCAAATTTGAGCGTGGCATGGTGCTAGTGCTAACAAATGAAAACTTGTAAAATGTTACCAAAATTACTTTAAAGCGCTAGAGGACCCGTTTGTTCACCTGTACGCTCTAAAACTACATCATCAACAACAAAAATTTCAATACTTATGTGTACTGTAAATATTACGACAGTTGCCTAATGGATCATTATTTGGAAAGGTTTTACAAATGACTTGCAATGTTTTAAATCCTCCAAATGGATTTCATCTCCGCAATCAGCAATTTACACGTTTAATAAGTCGTTCTCATGTGATGTTGTTTAGCTATCATAGGAATAAAAGAACCAAGCAAAATTTAGATATTTTCGGTTTTATTAGTACATGGTGAAATGACAAGCAAGGTTGAAAGTTGAAAATAAACAAAAATTGCACTGGTATTAACACTAACTGCAATTTTACAAAATGCAGTCTAAACATGTTGTGTAACTTTGAGAATCTATTTAAAAACAGTAGGTCACATAAGCACACCGATTGTTTTAATGTACATTTTCGGACGGCGAAGAGACGTGCGTATACTTGGGTCCTCCAAAGCTCAGTCAGTCTCAATATGTGAATATTTTCTAGTGGGACACTATTATAGAAGTATTGTAAATGTGTTTTGTAGCGTGTGTGTGTGTGTACATGCTTAACTGGGAAATGTTATTTATTGTATTAAAAAAAAAAAGCAATACGACCAAAACAACAGTACAAACAAAATTAGGTCATTGATCGTATTTCAATGTGTCGCACTTTAGTTGCTTTGTGTAATTTCTTATGTTTTGTTATTTACTGTTGTGAATGTATTCCATTGTGTTACTTTAATATTGAATTAAAAATAAAATGCTGTAGATGTTTTAGATTTGTTCGAATTTAACGTAGAAGCTGATAGCTATATTTCACACAAAAGAATAAAGACATTGAACACAGATTATAAATGTTTGTTATTTACTCAACGTTTCTGGCGGTTTTATTCGGAAGATGATATATTTTGATTTTCAGACATCTGTACGTTTTCCAGGTATGCTCACGCCAATATATGTGGGTGTTTTCCCATATTGTTGGTCTGTACTAGCAGTTTCTATGTGCACATTTTTAAGGCATTCAAAACTAAAGGGATTTCCAACAAAATTTTCTATGAAGCCCGAAACAAATTAGACAGACAAATATTGCTCTGCAATTAAACACAAAAGTGTAAAAAGTAGAAACAACAACATAAAGTACATAAAGTGGACATGATGCAAATAAAGCACCTGCAAGTTCAGGAATTTCACATATATAGAAACAGTGTTAAGGAAACCCGAATCCCTGCATTTCTTAGTTCTTTCTGGGTGAATTTAAACCCAAAATCTAACAGAATAAACTTTTTAAAGAAAATGAAGCCTATTTTAGGACAATTTGTTGCATTCTTATATTATTTATTGCATTATGGACAGTTCAGCACATTTCCCCACCCATTTACGTTATTCTCATAATGGATTTATTACTGTGATACACTAGTATTCAGTATTACAGTAAAAACTTAAACTTAATAATTAAAGGCAGGGCAACCCTGATATGTAAATGTTTTTTTCACATCAGAGCAATTGAATAAATGATTTGTTTGCATTCTTATAAAGAAAATTGTGGATTAAAATGTGCTTAACTGTTAAAACAAATCTCAGTAGTCCTTTAAATAGGTTTAATTTTCTTCATGGAAAATATATATTAAACATTTTTTTGTGAAATTCATCCGTCTAGCTTTCTCGTTCACTCGGCATTTACTTTCTCGTTTACTACTTGGTGCTACACTAAGTGAAGAGCTATTAGTACACAACTTCCCTGCCTTAAAAGTTGCTTTAGTTTTTAGATTAAGTGCTGAGGTAACAGTAGCATTACTATGGGGTTCAATTCGCTCCATTTTCCACTTTTTCCGATAGTCGACAGGATATACAGTGTTTTTTGAATAATTTCCTCAATGTTAGAATGAAAGAGAGAGGAATACCAAACCCAATGGCTACATGAATTGCTTCCATTTCAAACAGAATAATGGAAACATTTTTACTTTTTCCTGAGTCATCTGTCATCTTTCAGGTGACTTAAGAAAGGCTGAAGTCTGACGGCTGCGATAAACAAAACAAAAAAACAAGATCAGCATCTAACTCTATGCAAAGAAACTGATGATTAAGTCAAATCGATGATATGCATTTTATAGATTATAAAAAGGAATAGTAGTACTTTACCTCCAGTTGGATATCGTATCGGTTCTATAATAAAGAAAAATGGAGAGAATAACTGCAGTTGATATTGAACTATTGCTTTAAAAGATTTTGTAATTATCTAGATTATCATTTTACATACCACTTCCAGCTTCAGCTGGTCGAATACCTCAGGCGACATTGGCATGAGCGTGTCATTATATTCTTGCGGTTTCCTAAAATTCGAACATATTTAAGATCACACAAAAAAAAATACACTAAAAAATAAGTCATTATTTTTGCAATCCTGTTTGGTAGCTCAGAATAAAACGTAGAAAAAGGCAGACTTTTTCCTCAGAATTGTGAGATAAAAAGTCGCACTTGCGTTTTTCTACGTTTTAGTCAGAAATCGCAAGTTATTAAGTCTTCAGTTGCGTGAAATAAACTTTCTGATTACAAAGTCTGAATTAAAAAATAAGAATTGTGGATTACAAACTCGAAATGGCAAGAAAAAGTCAGAATTGCGAGTTAAAAACTCAAAGCTGCAAGTAAAATATCAGAATTTCAAATTATGAAGTCCGAATCGCAAAATGTAAACTTTTAATTGCAATTGAAATTAAAAAGTCAGAATTTTGAGTTATAAAGTCAGAACTGCGAGATATAAACCCACAATTGTGAGTAAAAAGTCAGAATTGAGAGATAGTTAACTCGCAATTGTGAGTTAGAATGTCAGAAGTGCGATATAAAAAGTCAGAATTGAGAGATGTATAGTAAACTCGCAATTGTGAGTTAAAATTAAGAATTGCAAGTTACAAATTCGAAATTGCAAGAAAAATCTGAATTACGAAATATAAACAACAAAAAACATCAGAATTGCGAGTTAAAGTCTGAGTTGCGAGAAATAAAGTCTGAATTATGAGATATAAACTCGAAATGGCAAGAAAAATCTGTATTACGAAATATATACAACGGAAAACATCAGAATTGCGAGTTAAAGTCTGTGTTGCGAGAAGTAAAGTCTGAATTGCGAGAAATAAACCCGAAATTGAAAGAAAAATCTGAATTACGAAATATACACAATGAAAAACATCAGAATTGCGAGTTAAAGTCTGAGTTGCGAGAAATAAAGTCTGAATTGCGAGATAAACTCGAAATTGTGAGTTATAAAGATTTGTGAATTAAAAATTTGCAATCGCAAGAAAAAATTCAGAATTGCGAGTTATAAAGTCTGAGTTGTGAGATAAACATGCAGTTCAGAGAAAAAAGTCAAAATTGCGATTTATAATTACAATAAATTGAGTTAAAAAAAAATTCAAGGAATAAACTTGCAATTCTGAAAAAAAAAGTCTGAATTACGAGTTATAAATTTGAAAATGCAAGATGGAGACTGAACTGTAAGATACACAGTAAAATCGCGTTCATTTTTATTTTTTGTGGTGGTGGAAACAAGCTTGAAAAAATGACAATTAGCCCATGATTTACTCGCGTAAAAATCTTCTGGCTCTTCCTAACTTTATAATGTAATTGCATGGCTGTTTGATTTTAGGAGTACATTAAAGCGCATCTATTCATGATTAAAGTGCTCGACACAAATCTGCGGGGGTTAATAAAGGCCTTCTGAAGTGAAGTGATGCGTTTGTGTAAGAAAAATATCCATATGTAAAACTTTAGCAGACTTTAGCAAAAGAGTAACACTTGAACTTGACGCACAACGTAATGACGTTTCCCGGCTCTGTATTTGAAAACCGCGAGAGGCGTCAATTGCCGTCATTACGTTATCCGTCAAGTTTGGCGTAAATCGATGCGTACTGCCGTCTGTCGGAGGTTAGTTATTTTATTCGAAGAGTGGAAGAGCCAAAACGTTTTTTTTTTTTATATATAACTCAGATTGTTTTCATCTGAATATCATATACACCAGGGTGAGAAAATCATGGGTTAATTTTCATTTTTGGGTGAACTGTCCCTTTAACACTGACTCACATTTCAGAGATGGAGATGAGAGTGGTGCTGATGTATCCCTCGTCCGACTTCTTGTCGACATCCATTGGTTCTTGCTCTGGAGAAACAACAAGAATTTCATTTATACGTATTTTATATATATATATATTTAATGGGATTTTTTTTTTTTTAAATAGTTCACAACTGCGTTTCTTACTCTCGGTAGGTTTGGAATAGTATTTTTTGAAGGCGTCGTCTTTGGGTAAATTGGGATAAAGGAAGCGCAGGGGGTTTTCTGGGACGTTGTCGGCGGCCATCACGCGATAGTTTCGAATAATGTCGGGAAGTGAGACGGCAGAGAGTTCCCTCTTCGTGTAGGGCTCCACAGAGCGAATCTGCGGCTCTTCTAAACCAACACAAAGCCAAACACAGTAATGAACAATACATTTGCTAAAAAGGATTTGATTTCAAGCCAAAATCTAAATGTTGACGTTTTGATATCAAGACCAAAGCAAAAATCCTTCATTTTATTTGCCTTCATTTAATCGTTTACATGTCAGAAAGGAGGAACGTCTCACCGTTTAAGTCATGTTGGATCCAGCTGAACGTGATTGCTCCGTCGCGGTTGCTCTCACTGAAGCGCAACAGAAACGTCCCGGGAGCTTTGTCATACAGCAGAGCTTTAGTACGGTCCTTGGTCACAAACCCCATTATACACCTGTGAGAGATGGACAGTGTTAAAGCAATGTTACCGCTTGACTAATAGACTCCCAATGTGCCAGAATTTATTAACTCGCTCCCTGCCATTAACTGAAATTCAGCTTTATTTTAATTTGCTTTTTTTAAGTGAATAGATTTAGTTCCGGTTAACGATAATAGCCTTGGTATGTGAAATATGGTACCGTAGATGTCCAAAAATGGTCAGGTAAGTTGGTTTGTCTACCTGGTTGTCTATCTTAAAGGATTAGGTTACTTTTGAAAAAACTCTTGCTGATAATTTACTCGCCCCCATGTCATCCAAGATGTCCATGTCTTTCTTTCCTCAGTTGAAAAGAAATTAAGGTTTTTGATGAAAACATTCCAGGATTTTTCTCCATATAATGGACTTCAATGGGAACCAGACCAAAAAGGTCCAAATGAGAGTTAATAACAGTTTCAGATGCAGCTTCAAATGTCTTTAAACGACACCAGACGATGAATAAGGGTCTTATCATGCGAAACGATCGGTTATTTCAAAACTTATTCCAAAAATGTAACTATTCTAAGGACAAATGCTAGCCTTGCTATATTCTGTGAGGCGCGTTTGTAACGTCACGTATTACGTAATTACGTTCAAAAGGTCACGGGCGACGTAGCCGGAAGTACAGAATCAAAATCGTCCGACATCGTTGTTTTCCTTTTAATTCCTTTTTTTGTAAACGGCGTTTGAGTTAGTTTGCACGTTCAACCTATGCGTTCAACTTGTAAACACTGACTCTGTACTTCCTGCTACGTCGCCTTGACCTTTTGAACGTAATTACGTATTACGTGACGTTACAAACGCGCCTCACAGAATATAGCAAGGCTACCATTTGTCCTTAGAAAAGTTACATTTTTGGAATAAGTTTTGAAATAACCGATCGTTTCGCATGATAAGACCCTTATTCATCGTCTGGTGTCGTTTAAAGACATTTGAAGCTGCATCTGAAACTGTTATTAACTGTCTTTTGGACCTTGAACTGTTTGGTTCCCACTGAAGTCCATTATATGGAGAAAAATCCTGGAATGTTTTCATCAAAAACCTTAATTTCTTTTCGACTGAGGAAAGAAAGACATGGACAACTTGGATGACATGGGGGTGAGTAAATTATCAGCAAAAGTTTTTTCAAAAGTGAACTATACGTTTAACCCCAACAGCATGTGATCAAGGTGTGATCATGTGATTCTAGCATAATTTTTATAATCCAATCATCTTACCCATCATCCCACAGACTCAGCAGGTGTCTCTTTATAAGATCCAAAACGGCTTCAATCCACAACCAGAAGGTGAAGTTCTTCTCACTGCCAGACTACATCATACACAAGACTCGAATCACTTTTAACAATCATGGGTAACGAAACTAGTGTGCTCAATTCAGAAGATTCGACCTAATGGCTAAACGAATAAGCATAGAGACCAACCTTACAGAATCTATTCCAAGGAATCTGAGCTTCAGGATCCGTCACCGCTTTAGGACCTGTGGGCCGAAGTTCAAAAGCCAGCTTGTGCATTTAGTTCATCTGTTCCAACAGAATCAGCCTCTCAATGGCAATCAGACTCACCCAGCAGTTTAGTTCCCAGCATGCTCAGCTGTTCTTGATTAAGACCTCTTTTGGTGATGGAGGAGAACTGCCAGCTCAGCACCTCCGCTAGATGACCCCAACTGGCTGAAGGAGGAGTGACGAAGAACGAAAGGTTCTGGAGAAGAAACGGCAAGTCAGAACCTGTGCGAACACGTCCTGCAATCTGTTTCGCGTTGACACGTAAGTAGAGCTCATTTCAAGAGAGGACTTATCTTTGAATTTGCTTTTATTTTTAGATTTTGTTACGTCCAAAGACATATATTTCTGTGAGAACTGTGTGGTACTGTAGTATGGGTTTGCTTTCTTTTGTGTCTCCTGCTCTCTTTTGGCTCCTCCCACTTAGTGTTGTAGTACTCGAGAGCAGTCTCGAGACCACTTTTTGATGGTCTCGGACTCGACGCATTTGGTCTCGGTCTTGGACATTTGAGGACTTCGGATGTTTTTTCTAGAGCCAGACCGATATATCGGCCGATATTAGGCATTTTCTTAAATATCGGTATCGGCAGTTATAATGGCCGATAAATGAATATTTCAAAAATAAAATAAAATCGGACGAATCACGCTTCAACCATGTCATGAGTGTTGGAGTTGTATAGTTTGCCACCAGAGGGCACTCTACAGCGTTCCTGTTGGCAACACTCGTGAATAACGCGCCACACATCCTGCAACCTGCTGATCCAGCCAGAGTCGGGCAGAGAGAACCAGTTATGCATTATCATATTAATTTTGTTAAAACTCATAATTAACTACAAATAACTAATGTTAGGGAAATCTGTTAATATTTTGTTGCGCGTTTCTGAAATAAAAAAAAATAATAATAATATCGGCCGATATATCGGATTTTAAAACCAACAAATATTTGTATCGGCCTTCAAAATCCTTTATCGGTCGGGCTCTAGTTTTTTCAAGACCATAACTGTGAAAATATTACTAATTTGCCAGAATATTGAGTGATATTTTTTTTGTTAACATTCTTGCTTTTATTGTATGTAAAACGTACCGATTCAAATCCAAGCAATAACGTGACTAATTGGTCATTGCTAATTATATATTTTTGTTACCGCTGCCTGTCACCCATGTATTCATGTTCATGTATTGTTAATAAAAGGCAGAGATAAGTGAAGACTTGTTTTACATTTTGTACTAAATGATGGAAGCCACCTAGGAGTATTTATTAATTTATTTCCAGTTTTATTAAACGAGTAGTTCACTTTTAAAAAAAAACTTTTGCTGATAATTTACTCACCCCCATGTCATCCAAGATGTCCGTGTCTTTCTTTCTTCAGTCGAAAAGAAATGAAGGTTTTTGATGAAAACATTCCAGGATTTTTCTCAATATAATGGACTTCAATGGGAACCAAACGGTTCAAGGTCCAAAAGACTGTTTCGAATCTTTTCCCAAGTCAACCCGTTCATTTCGTTCGTTGAATGAACCAAATGACACGAAAAAAGATTTGTTCATTTTGATGAACGAGTTCGAAAAGGAGAGTCACGAACGCACATCACAGAACAGAGCAAGGCGAGCATTTGAGCTTATAAAACGTAAACTTTTTTAATTATTTATTAAATGAGCGATCGTTTTGCCTGATAAAACCCTTATTCATGGTCTGGAATCGTTTAAAGCCCTTACAACAGTTTGCACTGAAACTGTCTTTTGGACCTTGAACCGTTTGGTTCCCATTGAAGTCCATAATATGGAGAAATCCTGGAATGTTTTTTCTTTTCGACTGATGAAAGACATGGATATCTTGGATGACATGGGGGTGAATAAAATTATCAGCAAGTTTTTTTTTAATAGTGAACTAATCTAGTTTTAGTGCTTCAACTTGAACTTATTTCAATTATTTGCCAAGACAACGTTTCCAATTTTTTCGTTTAAAAGGTTTTACATCTAATATTTATATTTTCAGTTTTAATTTTAGTTTAAGTTTTAATAATTTTGTTATGTGCTTTTGCCATTTGTATTAGTTTTTGTTCTTTTTAAAAAATATTCTTAATAGGTTTAATTTATTTCAATTTCTTCAACTTAAACATTTTTCAGTTATTTGTCAAGGCAAATTTTCGATACATTTTGTCCAGTTTCAGTTTTTTTATCATATTCATATTTTCAGTTTGTCCTAAATCTGTTATGTACATAACATTACTGTTGAGGAGGACTAACCTTTGGTTCAGAGGTCAGCATGTTGTACCACATGATGGAGGCCCATCCACTGGGTAGCTGACTGACGTTGGAGATCACGACTATGGGCAGAGATGTAGCCTGAAGATGGATGAGAGAGAAGAAAGTTGATGATGATCATGATTTGGTGACGTTTATGTTTCGAACTTTGTTCTTCTGAAGGATCTTCTGACCTCAAAGTTCAAGACCATTCCAGACCAGCAAAGCTCAGCCTCAAAGGTGATGGAGTGAAGTTCTTCCGTGACGATCAGAGGACCCTGACGAACGTTTAAAAAACAGGTTAGCCAAAAATTTGTGTTAAACTTTGAACATGCAGAATGAGTAAGTCATTTTTGATCAAATAAATGCAGCCTTTGTGAGCATGAGATACTAAAAATCTTATCGAGCTCAAGCTTTTTAACCCTCACCTCGCTGGTTCTGTTTCCGGTAACTTTCTTCTCTTTCAGTTGCTGTGAAGTAAAATGAATATTGTTACTATTGCTTGTTTAATGAAATACTTTTTAAACTGAATCTACATTATAATTCGTTTTTCTTTTCACTTTACCAGATGACGAAATTCTGCAGCCATCCCATTGGATTCCTCCATATTCATGACCTTCATGGCTGTTCCCAAGATGTTGAACATCCGAAACCTAAAACAGGAACATAGCTAAGTAAGCAGAACAATATTAAAGGGATAGTTCACCAAATCTGTATGAGTTTCTTTCTTCTGCTGAAGTTGGTAATCAAACAGATGACAGACTTCCATAGTACCGTCTACTGTTTGATAACCAACTTTCTTTAACCCCTTAACTGTCACCCCCCCTTCTTTGAGAATGGGGGTTAAATGCTCTATTCACACTTAAATGGTTGTAATTCAAGAATGCCTTGGAATATATACCCAAGTTTGGTCTTGTTTTAAAGAAAACACTTCAAAAAATGAAAGTATGAAAAAGTTATGGAAGTTTTAATTCACAGTAAATCAAATATACTGTACTATATATTTTTTATTTTATATAAAATATATATTTTACAAAATATTTTTACTCTAAAATTACTATAAAATCAAAGTCATAAATCTAACCAAGTTATGTTCCAAATTTGAAGTTGATATCACAAAAATTGAAGTTCCCATGAGATTTTGTCTAGGCGTAGTACCAAAAATAGCCACCGGGTGCCATTGAATTCCATTGAATTTAGTTGTGTACATTCTGCCTTAACAAATTAATACATTTCTGTCCAAATATCAATTTTGTCACAAAATTTGGAACCTTGAGACTCAGACCTTTCTGACAATATGTGTTTTGTCAAGATTAGAAAAGGTTTTGATCATAAATTATGAAATATAAGGATGCCCAAAAGGGGAGGAGCCTCATAAAATAATTACCGTTTCTATGGTAACGCAACGTTCAATTATAAAATGGTTTTCACAGGATGAATTCTGAGTTTATAAGCTTTCAAATGATATCTAATTTATGATAACTACTAAAATATGTGATATAATAAAAAAAGGCGATACAAATATTATTATATTTTAGAGGATAATATATACATATATATTATAATTTTTAGAGGATAATGTTATACTATACTTTTTATTTTTTATTGAAAAATACTAGATTATGTGTTTTATTATGAACTTTTAGCATAAAAACAGAAGTTTCAATGATTAAAAGTGGGTGCATCATCTTTTTGTGACAAAGGTCAGACCTCCTGTTATGATGCAGATTTTTTTAGGTGCACTCTTGTCATAAATTCATTAATTACTCTTCCTACATAATTTTTAACACAAAACAGGGGTCGAATATTTAATTAGAAGTCTTAGACCTTTCCAAAAATATATAATATGTCATAATTAGATTAGGATTTAATAGAAATATAGTGAAGTAAAGTTAGGCGTCCCGGTACCGGGACGGTGACAGTTAAGGGGTTAAAATCTCTTTTTTTATGTTCAGCAGACGAAAGAAACTCAACATAAGGTGAGCAAATGTTGAAGAATTTTGGGTGAACTATCCCTTTAATTTAAGTGGGATTCAACAAATTTAAAAAGAACTGAATTTAAGGAACAACTCAGCAAAAAAAATGAGATTTAGTCAGATACTGAGCATCAGATGCATAAGACCTGCATAACATGTTCCACAAAAAAAAAAAAAAATACACACACACACACAGAAATGACATGAGGGTGAGTAAACGATGTCAGATTTTCATTTTTAGTGTGACTCTCCCTTTAATATGGTATGCAAAGGAAATTACGAAAGACGCACCCTTTCCGTTTCTCAACGATATCCCTGGAAGACAAAACGAGGCATGTGTTAACACAAGAACATGTTGTCTTTTATGAATGTACGAATCAATTAAGTAATCTACAGGCAAGAGAAAGTATCTATGACTTAAAGTTTAATAAAGTTTGCCAAATACTTACTTATCAAACTGGACTTTCACTCGAACAGTGTGGTTAAATTCTGCAAGTTTAATGAGCAGCCTGGGGCACATAAAAATTACATATCATTATCTGGCTTCTGCTTCCAGAGAAGTGTGAATCATCTGGCATTTGTTTAAAGTTACCGTAATTTGAGAGTGAACAGAACGCCCGTCTTCAGCACCAAAGGTCTTTGCAGTTGGGTCGGCATGCATGGCTGTCTCTCGACTACCAAGGAGCTGAAAACACGCAAACCAAAATGATTCATTGTCAGTGACACACTTTCAGCAGTGGCGTAAAGGTCCCTGATATACTTCAAGCTAAATAGAAAAAGTGTAATATTCGTAGTTTAGCACATTTCAAGACTAATTCCCATTTAATTCGGTAATCTCGATATCTGTAATAGTAAAAACGTATAATAGATGTAGGAAAAGTATTCGAGAGAGTTTCACATGTAATATCTAGCTATATAATATCATATGCAAGCATGTCAGCCAATCACAGCAGTGGGCGGTGACACTGAATCCCATAGCAGACACGCCCCTTCAAACAGAGCGCTAAAATCGGGCCAGGAAAAATGCCTTTTACTTCTAATTTTTGATCTAAAAAACATAGTAACATTATAAGGGCAACCCAGGAAACATTATTAAATAATAAAATAAGCCCATGTCCGGCGACCTTTAAGGTGTTTCGAACTTCACCCCTAAGCAAAGAACGAAAAAGAACTTCGCCGTGAGTATATCGGGGCCTAAAAAGCCAAGTGATTAAACTTACTTTGTGATTAAAGTTTTGAGGTTTGACGTGATCCTGTCATTCAGGGTGCTTTTGCTGAAGGTGATGGGATCGTTTTCGTATGTGAACTTCTGCTCCAGCTCCAGAAGTTTCTTATGCTGCTGCCTGAGCTGAAGCAGAGATTCTCCGATAGAGGTAAACCTGAGGGGGGTGAAACAAACACAACTCAATGACATATGACTTAAAGTGCAAGCCATGATTTTGTAAGAAATCTGTCTGGAAATCTTTCGCCTTCATATCAGGCAAATTTCCCATTTGCAAGAATCCTATTGAAATTCTAGGATTGTGTCTGTGTGCGGTCCACAGTAAATGTAACCGCACCGCTATTGCTATTCGTAATTAAAGGAGTAGTTCACTTTAAAAAAAAAAAACTTTTGCTGATAATTTACTCACCCCCATGTCATCCAAGATGTCTGTGTCTTTCTTTCCTCAGTCGAAAAGAAATGAAGGTTTTTGATGAAAACATTCCAGGATTTTTCTCCATATAATGGACTTCATTGGGAACCAAACGGTTCAAGGTCCAAAAGACACTTTCAGTCCAAACTGTTCAAAGGGCTTTAAACGATTCCAAACGATGAATAAGTGTCTTATCAAGCGAAACTATCGGTCATTTAATAAATAAATAAAGTTTTATAAGCTCAAATGATCACCTTGCTCTGTTCTGTGATGCACGTTCGTGACTCTCCTATTGAAACTCGTTCATCAAAATTAACAGATCTTTTATCGAGTCATGACCCTTGATAAGACCCTTATTCATCGTCTGGTGTCATTTAAAGCTGCACTGAAACTGTCTTTTGGACCTTGAACCGTTTGGTTCCCATTGAAGTCCATTATATGGAGAAAATCCTGGAATGTTTTCATCAAAAACCTTAATTTCTTTTCGACTGAAGAAAGAAAGACGTGGACATCTTGGATGACACGGGGGTGAGTAAATTATCAGCAAAAGTTGTTTAAAAGTGAACTACTCCTTTAACCATATCCCTAGAAAATATGAATTCATTTGTGGTTTGCATTTGTTACCAGTTTTGCAGCTGGTCCAAGCAGACATTGCTCAGCCCACCGATGCAAGCCATCTGTTGTCGGCGCCTCCATTCGGCCAGTTCTGTTGAGATCAGCTCAAAGATCAGCGGATCCATAAGGTTCGACACCTCTGACATCTGACCAATCACATTCTACATGGACACAAACACGCACAGAGTTGAACGCAACGGCTTCTTTTCACTGACCAAAGTGAAGGCCGATGGATCTCCAATGCTCTCACCTCTCTTATGTTGTGGAGTTTCATAAACATGGCGCGGATGTTCAGTCTCTCCCGATTGAGGTCTTCCGTCGAAATTGTCCCGTTGAGTTCCTCTGTTAAACAGATGTACAAGCAATACTGAGTGTCTGTACTTGTGGAAAATCAGCAAGTTCTGACTTAAAATGCCATTTATTGTTTGTTGAATTTTTGCAAGTTTCTATACTTTCTATCGTGAAAAAATAGCTAGTTCATGGTTTAAGGCGTGGTCACATTTCCATTTGTTCAGCGAAATCCAAACGATTGGGAAATTTGCATAAAACGGAAAGGCTGATAAGTTCAGTTTGGTCAAGCGAATTTGCTCCACTGACCAACAGAAAGCAACTTGCTTTCAAACTGACTTCTCTTGTGAATATACATCGCTTCATTATTGACGATAGACAATAGACAAATTTTTGCTTGTAAAATCTTTCACAAGCATTTTTTTCGGTGACTGGCTGCAGTATAGGTCTTAAACCCCGCCCTCTCCATGTAATGCTGCAGTATAGGTCTTAAACCCCGCCCTCTCCATGTAACGCTGCAGTATAGGTCTTAAACCCCGCCCTCTCCATGTAACGATGCAGTATAGGTCTTAAACCCCGCCCTCTCCATGTAACGCTGCTGTATAGGTCTTAAACCCCGCCCTCTCCATGTAACGCTGCAGTATAGGTCTTAAACCCCGCCCTCTCCATGTAATGCTGCAGTATAGGTCTTAAACCCCGCCCTCTCCATGTAACGCTGCAGTATAGGTCTTAAACCCCGCCCTCTCCATGTAACGCTGCAGTATAGGTCTTAAACCCCGCCCTCTCCATGTAACGCTGCAGTATAGGTCTTAAACCCCGCCCTCTCCATGTAATGCTGCAGTATAGGTCTTAAACCCCGCCCTCTCCATGTAATGCTGCAGTATAGGTCTTAAACCCCGCCCTCTCCATGTAACGCTGCAGTATAGGTCTTAAACCCCGCCCTCTCCATGTAATGCTGCAGTATAGGTCTTAAACCCCGCCTTCTCCATGTAATGCTGCAGTATAGGTCTTAAACCCCGCCCTCTCCATGTAATGCTGCAGTATAGGTCTTAAACCCCGCCCTCTCCATGTAATGCTGCAGTATAGGTCTTAAACCCCGCCCTCTCCATGTAATGCTGCAGTATAGGTCTTAAACCCCGCCCTCTCCATGTAATGCTGCAGTATATGTCTTAAACCCCGCCCTCTCCATGTAATGCTGCAGTATAGGTCTTAAACCCCGCCCTCTCCATGTAATGCTGCAGTATATGTCTTAAACCCCGCCCTCTCCATGTAATGCTGCAGTATAGGTCTTAAACCCCGCCCTCTCCATGTAACGCTGCAGTATAGGTCTTAAACCCCGCCCTCTCCATGTAATCGGATGGGATACGAGCCAAACTAAAAAAATTTGATGACACAAGATGGTCCCAAAGATGGTTTCTGTTATTCTAGGTAGTTCTTATCACGCAGACATATGTGCAATGTTCATTATCCAAATAAGTTTGGTTGTATTTATTATTCTGATAAAAATGGAGTGTAACGTCATTATTGACACCTTTGCTTGCGAATGAGTTTGTGGGCGGGACCTTAATACCGCAGCTTAATGTAATCGGCAAAGACCTCAAATTATTTTGGCTTTCATTTTTCTACAATGGAAAGAGGAGACATGCTGTCTAGCTGTCCTTCTTTTTTTTTTTTTTTAAACCACATGTTTAATCCAAGCTCGTTTCGACAACAAAGAATAATTTTTTAATCCTGTTACCTCTGCTTTGAAGAGTTTTGCTCTTGAAGTCATATTCGTCTTGCAGATCTTCCAGGTTTTTGATGATCTGCTCGGTGTCCTAATCGGAAATAGAAAAAAAAAGATTTCTCATACGACTTGACAATGAGAATTACACACGTATAACATTTTATTCGATGGTCCACTTAAGACATTCTGCTAACCATAATTAACTCTGCAACTACGTCAACTTATTCCACTAACCCAAACCCTAATAGTCTACAAACACTCTAATGAATTTAGTTGAATGTAGACGTAGAGCCAGACCGATTTATCGGCAGGCCGATATTAGGCATTTTCCAAACTATCTGTACCGGCAGTTATAATGGCCAATAAATTAATATTTCAAAAATAAAATTAAAAACGGACAAAACGCGCTTAAACCATGTCATGAGTGTTGGAGTTGTATAGTTTGTCCACCAGAGGGCACTCTACACCGTCCCTGTTGGCAACACTCGTTGAGTTGGTCACGAGACATACATTGCTTGAATAACAATTTAAAGAACATCCCCATCAGTTCTCTTAACTCAAATAAGCATGACAAAATTCGTGACTATCATGTCCAGTTTTGCTGCTGTTAAATAAGCCGAGAGTGAAGCGGAATTAGCTAGTAATAGTTACGTTACGTTGTTACAGTGTAGTTGACTGACTGTCCTTTTAACTTTTGACAATGTGACTGAAGTATTTCTTTAAAAGCGCGTGACAGTTATAGCAATGAGACGCATCATCTCTCCTTGGCCTGTAATATTGAAAATGTATGTTTTGCAATTTGCAGTATGACGTAATCCATTGCTAAATTATGGCTCATCATAAACTAGCTAACCACAAAGCTAGCTAATGCCACTATCAACAGTCTGTTCTGTTGTGACAATAAAATAAACAGGTTTCTTTTTAAAATGCATTATCATATTATTTTAGTTAAAACTCATAAATAAATACAAATAACTATTGTTAGGGAAATCTGTTAATGTTTTGTAGCGCGTTTCTGAAAAAAAATATCGGCCGATATATCGGAATATCGGATTTTAAAACCAACAAATATTTGTATCGGTATCGGCCTTCAAAATCCTTTATCGGTCGGGCTCTAAGACGTAGTTGGTTACTTGTAGTTAAGTGGACCATCGAAATAAAATGCACCTAAAATATCTTGTAGTTGTGACAAGTTCTTTTGTGTGTATACATCACCTGTACTTTGTTCTTTATGTCTTTCACCCTTCCGTCCATTTCTCGATGTTTCTCCACGATCATGTCGTTTTGGGTGCTCTCAGTTCGATTCTGCAACGGAATACTAATTACTAACTTCCTTCCATTTTTGTTTTACAGACGAAAAAAAGTTATGCAGGTTTGGTGAGTAAATGAATTTTTATTTTTGGTTAAACTATTCCTCTAATATTGTAACTTCACAACTACAAAAGAGATCTAAACGTCATATTTACTTAAAGGGATACTCCATTTTTTTTTTTTTTTTTGGAAATAGGCTCATTTTACCACTCCCCCAGAGTTAAACAGTTGCCGTTTTCAAATCCATTCAGCCAATTTTCTGATATTTAGAATAATATCAGCAACCAGACAGTTTCTGGTCTCATTGACTTCCATGGTATATTTTTTTTTTACTATGGAAGTCAATGAGACCAGAAACTGTCTGGTTACTGCCTGGTTTCTAAATATCAGAAATTCGGCTGAATGGATTTGAAAATGGTAAAACCCAACTAAAATGAGCCAATTTCCAAAAAAAAAAAAAAAATGGAGTATCCCTTTAAAACATATTTAAATCTAAGGTTTAGGTGGTGGAGATCAGTGGCTGTCATTTATTAATTTCTGACCTCTGACATTTGGGCAGCGGATAGAATCTTCCTTTCTTCGCTAAGGTTCCTACTGATGATCATAGCCATGGAAACAGGATCGTCTTGGAAGAGGTTCTGGAAAACAAGGTTCAAATGAACTAAAGGTGACACCACACTAAAAGGAAATAGTCACGCAGCCAGTTGCAGTCAGTCACCTGCAAGTTCCTCTTGATCTTGCGGATGTTGTGCTGGTTCAGGAAGTCTTTCTCCATCGCGAAGCGGCTGTGTTGGTGATCTAACTGGGTCAAAAGATCATGAAACCTCACGGTAGCCAGTGACTCGTTCTCCACATTAGCGACATGCTCCCTTTGGGGAACAAAAAACAAAGGATTTACGTCAACTAAAGTTGAGACTGGTTTCTGGTATATAATCCCTCTTATTGGGATGACAAGTATAATAAGAAGGACATATAAAATACAGTAGTTAGTAGTTATCACTGCAACACTTTTTTTAGCAATAATAACTATAGTAAGTAATTATAAATGTTGTGCTGACTCTTATTTGTCTTCTTAAACAACTGATACGGCAACATTTACAACTCTGGAAGACCCATGATTCCTTTATATGAAGTTACCGCAGATTGATCGGTAGGGTTGGGAAATGAAAATGTGTTCTACTTCTAATCGGATGGTTAAAGGTGCATTTCTAAGAAACACTGCTGAAAGTGGATAAGACCACCAAAACACACTTGTAGCCAATCAGCAGTAAGGGGTGTATACACTCATAAAGGGGAGGTGCCTGTTTTGATAATTTGGGGGTGGGGCTATTTAGATATGAGTGTGATCCTTTTGGGTAAGGGTGTGTTTGTTTTGGTGATTTCAAATCGCTTACTGCACCTTTAAGGTAAGGAATCGGTTACTTGTCAAAATTAACATTTCGAATGAGGTCTTAAAGTGACAGCAGCCTAATAAACCTGCTGCCGTCTGTCATTACTGTAAATCTAGGAACAAAAGGGAAAGAAAATCACTCACTATCTTGACTGAATAACCTTTGTAATTTTAAGTAAGGATTATTTTACATTTCTGAACTTAAGTTGCGTTTCAGTGAGGTAAGGTTGCTGATTTTTGGTCGTGGTGTTCAGAAAATGACAGAATAAATGTTTAATATCTAAATGTTTGATTTTTTTTTTTTTATTTGAACCATATTGGAATCAAAACTTGGAATCAATAAGCAGAATTGGAATCGATTTGAGGTGTACAAAAATACATTTAAAAATATTTTATGTATCTTTCAAAATATTAATATAATAAATATATTTTGATATGAATATTTGTATCACCTTTAAATATTTATTAGAAAGTATTAATTCAAGTTTTAATATTTTATTATTGTATTCTAATTTATAGTCATATTTTAATTACCTATAATATATTTATTAATTTATTTTCTTTTTTTAATGTTGATATTTTAATTAATAATAAAATGAATGACCTTTTAAAAAATATATATACGCACTTTTAAAAGTATTAATTCATTGCTACATGTTTAAATATTTTTTTAATTAATTTTATTAATAGTTTTCTAATTACCATTACAAATGTGTATGCACATTTACAAAATATTTCACATTTTAATATTAATATTTAATAAATAATACTTTTTTATTTTATTTTAAGTGCAAGCTAATATGAAGACTTTGTCCTCAATCAATTATCGTTGATAATGTGTATTTTGTAAAATGTCTATGTATTCCTGCAATAAAAACAATAAAATAAAATATCAGGTTGTCAATGCCTACTCTAGTTTAGCATTATTATATTTGCAGGAGGTTTGTGTTTGTGTTTGAAATGGTGATAAAGCTAATGAAGGTATCGAATCTTTCATCCACACCAGTCGAGGCTTTCTATCCAGCTGCTGAGGTACTGCCGGATGGCCATTGGAAAGTTGTCATCATACAGTTGGTCGACCTGTTCCAAAAACTTTGAATCAAGTTGTTGAAGCTCCAACCACTGACTCATTTCTGCGACTCTGTGGGCTGAGAGGTAAAAATAAATGAAGATAAGAGTTTGGTAAACAATGGGCCACAGTGAATAGCTTACTGCATTATCAAGTTTTACTTGCAGAAAACGGAAGACAGCAGATATGCAAACTGCACAAAGCATTTCTTTGCAAGATGAGATTTCAATTTAAGCACAGGTCATTTTGAGGTTTTTGTGCTGTGTGTTTCTAACCTAGTAGCTACTAACATATTTGCCAAAACATTTTGCAAGAAAGATATGTAAAAATTAAGTAAATAATATTTCTTATTATTATTGTAAAAATTGCTAAATGTTTTCTTGTAGACCAAAAATGAGGTTTAGTATGTAGTAATTGTGTGTTTGTAGAGCTTTAATACAGAAAAACATGGGAAAAGATTTATTATTATTATTATTATTATTAAAATATTTTCAAAGTTTTAGTCTATAGTGGGTATAATTTAAAAAGCGTACAATGACAACAGGCCAACATTAGTTTGAATATGAATGTTTTTTCTTGTCTTTACTGAACAGTGTTGTTTTTGCAAAAGACTGCATTTACGATTTAAAATATTAATTTTATATATATTATTTTTTTATTATTTTTTTTTAAGCTAGCTTTGGGTAAACGTGGGTGGGTGCAAGTATGAAGGGGGTGTGTGTGTGTTCAGCTCAGCAAAATGTTATCCTTCGGCATAAATCGGAATCAATCCATAATAATAGTAGTAATAATATAGTTATATTGAAAGATATTATCATAAATTTAGCATAACAGAACCGCGTGAACACATAATAGCATATTGTTTTGCCTGCATTCGGACGACATTTTATAAATAGCTCCGTTTATATAAGGTCTTGTGTGTATAAAGGTATTATGTGCTTTTCCATTGCTTTCCTAAAGGTAAAATCTTCAAATAACATTACAATCTTAGAATTACAGACATATACAGGAATACCACGAAGTAATCAAACGTGAGATCAAACTTCCTGTAAATTAATTTGTCAAGCAAAAAAAATATGAATGCGGAAATTAGTTATTGTTTTGTTACTCACCCCCAAATGTTCTCCAAATACGGTTAAATAGAGAATCAGCAGATATATGTTTGATGTGTCTTCTATAGAGGCAGAATAATACGGAAGAACATGCGAGTTCCCTGTTATTGTCGATTTGTTATTGAATTTAGCCTGTACAGTAGATCTTTTTCTGCACGAGTACCACGCGTGTGTGTGTTTGAGTGAAAGCTAGATCAACCAATCAGCGGCCAGGGTGTCGTTTGTCCCACATGCACTAGCCTATCATCGTGTTCTGCTGTCCTCTATGACGCAACTGGAATTTTGGACCACCGTTGTAGGGCAGCCCACGTGATTTATAAGAAACTGAAACTGCGTAGTGTTGCACACTAGAGAAAGATGCTTCATCCCTACGTAAAAACTGTAGGAGGATACGCTTTTTATAAGGAGTGTTTTATAAGGAACGTGTTTTAGGACTATACATGGATGTGGGGTCAAAAAAGGTGAAGTTCGCATCGAATTTGCTGAATTGCAGTACAATCTTGTTTTAAATAGAAGAAACCAGGACTAGTGTGTTTTCTCACTTTTAAAACTTGATTATATATATATATATATATATATATATATATATATATATATATATATATTTATATATATAATATGTAGGCTGTGCATATATATATATATATATATATATATATATATATACTGTATATATATGTAGGCTGTGTAGGCTGTGCATATATATATATATATATATATATATATATATATATATATATATATATATGCACAGCCTACACAGCCTACATATATATACAGTATATATATATATATATATATATATATATATATATATATGCACAGCCTACATATTATATATATAAATATATATAATTTATATATTTATAGCCTATAATTTGCCCTCTTTTCATCCTCCTGTTAGGTTGTTCCAAAACCAGGATGCATCTTCTGTGTCTTCATTTACAAAAGAAGAGAATTTTGTTTCTCCATTTGCATGAGGTCACCAGCACTGTCACTGTAGATCAATTTCAACATGAAACAATATGTACAAACTTTAAAAGATCTGTATTGATATCAGGTGAGCAACCTGGGTTCGAACAACTGTGAAACACCAATGTGTCCCTGAGCAAGACACTTAACCCCAAGTTGCTCCAGAGACGTGCGACCTCTGACATGTATAGCAATTGTAAGTCGCTTTGGATAAAAGCGTCAGCTAAATGAATAAATGTAAATTTGATCCTTCTGATAGCTCAATGTTTGATTCAGGGGGTAAAAAAGCACACCCACTTCGGGAATATCTTATTTTCAGTCTGTATTATATATTTAATTCTAGGTAACTTCAGCCTACTCAAAGTGTGCAACTATTGAATCATGCAGTAAAGTGTGCAAAATCTTTTTTTGAACGCAAATGGGGACATTTTGAAGTGCACTCAATGTCCTGTGGACAGACTTCTACTATTGTTGCCTCACAGGGCCTCCATCACCCTGGGGAGTCCTCAAAATAACAAAATAACACAGGAGAGGCTTTAGCTTCCTTGGAATATGGGGTTGTTGCTTTTGAGCGCCATAATGTGCTCCACATGCTTGGATAGGTGTCAATGGTGTCACTCTGTTAAGGGTTACGAAGGGACAACATTGAAGAGGTCCCTTAAGGACATGTGAAAAAAACTCCTCAAAAACATCAGTAACAGGCATTTTACTTGGTACAACAGATCAAAACTACAGCATGATTTTGAAACCACAATCTATACAAACAATTCCATGTTTTAAAAGATCACTATGAGTATGACCATCTCTAACCTAAGACATTTTGTAGGATAACTATTTAATTGGCAGTTTTTTTTTAACATATAAGAAGCATGCTTTTCGATGGTTGACATGTTCCAGCAATGTTTAAAACTATTTAAAAAGCATTGAAATTGTGACTACACTGTAAAAAAAATGATTTAACTTAAAAAAGGAAGTAACCTGGTTGCCTTAAAATTTTAAGTTGATTGAACTGGAAAAAGTGAGTTAATACATTGATTTAATCATCAGAAACTCTAAACAATAAGTTATCTCAACTAAATAAATTATTTAAGTTGATTTGACTAAAGAAAAAAAATGTTGTGATAACAAATCTTGAAAATATTTTTTACAGCGTAGTTACAGCACTAAAAAGTTTCCTATCCATGTCATTTGTCAACCACCCACATGCTATGAACCAACTGCAGAAAGTCTTTTGTTTGGACGTCATGTTGAGTAAGTTTCTGGGTCAGTGTTCCTCTTTTTGGGTCACTGGGGGATAAGCAGCTTTATATAAATAATAAACTTTACAACCCCCTTAAAAATTACAATTAATTTACTTTTTGCAATTTGTACATTCTGAAATCACACTGGTAAAGCCCATCAGGTCATCTCTATGCTTAAATGATTTCACAGAGGAAGCCTTGTTATACCTTCAAAAAAGAAACCCTTGTCACCTTTTACCACTGTCGTTGAGTACAACAGTTGATGAGAACAAACAAAAAGATTTGGCTAAGTTGGCTTGTTGGGACCCGGTGTGGTCAATTGTTTTAACAGGAACTATTTCGTAAGGGACAAGGTAAAGGTTGTTTTCACTTCCCTCTGGTCCAAAGCAGTTAGGGCTTGCTGTCGTAGTGACTAGAAAAGCCCTTGGGCTCAAGAGCAGCCGCAAAGGTCTACGACCATTGAAGGGATTTTTCCGTAGATGATCTGCTCGCGGTCATTGAAATACAGCATGTTTATGGGTGACATCTTGGTTGGTGTGCAGCAGGGACCTGCGCTGCCCCGAGGGTTGGCCTTGTTAACGATGTGACTGTGAGGGTACTTCTGCACGCATTCACCGGAGCAGTAATTGGCCTTGTAGCGCTTGGGCGCAATTATCCAGTCCCACCCGAAGTCATCAAAGTCGACGGTGAGTGGATACCGGCAGCAACGAGACTCGGTGGAATGCTCATCGCAATCAAGGCCAGTGTCCCTTCTGGACCGCTTGCCAGCGTCTGATATTTTCACCTCTAAGAAGGGTTGCTGGAAGGGCGGACATAAGAACAAGTCATGGTCATTCATATAGGTATGCAAAGGTGCAATTAAGCACATACTTGACATGAATTGCAATGCACTTGTCCAAAGCTGATCCAACTAAACCAGGTTTTCTCAAACTCGGTCCTGTAGAGTTTAGCTCCAACCCTGATCAAACACACCTGAGCAAGCTAATCAAGGACTTCAGGATCACTAGAAACTCACAGATAGGTGTGTTTGATCAGGTTTGGAGCTAAACTCTGCAGGACAGTGGCCCTCCAGGACCGAGTTTGAGAACCCCTACTTAACCTTTGTTCAATGGTATAATGGCCCTTGAGATACGAGGCGAGCTCTGGTTGATGGCCTACAGCAGGTGTGCCCAATCCTGCTCCTGCCGATAGACTGTCCTGCACAGTTCATCTCAAACCCCAATCAAACACACCTGAAGCAACCAATTAAGGTCTTTAGGATCACTTGAAAATTATATTCAGGTGTGTTTGATTAGGGTTGGAGATTAACTGTGCAGGACAGTCGATCGCCAGGAGCAGGATTGGGCACCCCTGGCCTACTACAGTATACCCCTAAAAGGGTGAAAGGTGAAGGAGTAGAATTACAGCCCCTTGTTGAGTTCAAACAAACTGTGTCCCTCCACCATTGCTTTTAAATCTCATTCAGACTTGCCAGGATGTGCCAAGTTTGAATAAGATTTGACCGCCATGGTAGAGGGCAAGGTTCTTAAAGGTACGCCTAAACTCCACAAGGTGCACATTTGAGAGGAAGATGATGAATAACGACCAGATTTGGATGATAATCATTTTCGGTCAAGTATCCCTTTATCCACTAGACTACTGTAATGGCGCTTTTCCATAACCAGTACCAGCTCGACTCGGCTTGTCTGGACTCGACTCAGCTCGCTTTTCACTCCATTTTCCATTGCAGACAAGTACCCGAATAGCCTTTTGTTCCTCGTTGCCCTGTCAATCTTTCGCAGGATCCTCTCTTCGGCCACCAAACAAAGGAAAGTCTGCATCTCTTGACCACGGTGTATTCTTCTGAGTTGCCATAATAGTTAGTTTAGTAACTATCTCTGGCCAAACTATTTCAAAATAGCGGGGTTATTCGGGATAATCCATCTGGCGCGTGTAATGATGACGCAATGAATGGTGACGATTCTCTCTGACCAATCAGCAGTCTGCATTGTTTACACGTCACGTTTTAGTATCAGAACTCAGCTCAGAACCTCGCCGGAGGTGGTAAAAGTATCCGAAAGCAGGAACTGGTACAACTTTTACACAGTGGAAAACCAAACAAAGGCAAGCCGAGTCGAATCGAGCTGGTACTGCACTCTTAGAAGAAATGGTTCTATTTAGAACCAGAAATGGTTCCATCCCCCACTTCATAAATGGAACTCCAAAATGGTTCTATATAGAACCATTTTTTTTTTGGTAAAAGGTTCTATTGGCCAAGTATGGAACCCCAGGGTTCTATATAGAACTCAGAGGAACCCCTTTTTTAAGAGTGTATAGAACCTTTTAGGGGTTCCAAATATGTAGCGCTGATAGAACCTTTTAAGGTTCTATATAGAACCTTTTCTTCTAAGAGTGTGTGTAGTGGAAAAGGGCCACACTTCCTTAAAGCTTTTGGAGATTTGTTAATCAAAATCCAGCCTTTGACAATTGGCTTTATGCCCAGCTGCACTACTTCCTGAACTTCAGCCAGCTTCTTGTTTCCTGTCTGCCATTATTGGCCAAATTGATTAATTCAGGTGTGTCTGATTATTGTTGCCATGACAACTGAGGTCAGGCACACCTGGATTAATCAATTTGGCCAATAATTGCAGACAGGAAACAAGGAGCTGGCTGAAGTTCAGGAAGTAGTGCAGCTGGGCATAAAGCCCATTGTAGTTTGTTCTATTCTAAACAAGTACCAATCCGTGCACCGACTTACCAGTCCTTCCTCTCCAGATTCTGGCGAGGTCACAGCCATATCATTTCCATTGGTGTCAAAGGCCTTGATTTCGATCCCAAAGTTACTCTGGGGCTGTTTGAGCCACAACTGCAACAGCTTCTTCATGTCAATGTGCTGCCAGGAGTTTGTCCGGGCATTCACGTCAACTTTTTGTGCCCGTATTCTTGAGTGGCTGTTCCCTTCAGAAGATGACCGCAGGTGAGATATCTGGATGAAGACTGTGGTTGGCTCTTCAGCTGGTCGGAGATAGATCCAGAGCAAGGCCTTCAGGATGCTGTCGGGCATAATCTTTGGGCTCAGTGAGAAAATGCAACACTTCGGCATTCCCTCAAGATGGGCGATGGCTTGCGCTGCAAGGTATTGAGTTTACTAAGACCATGAACACCTTTTTCACATTACACTCTCAAAAAAAAATAGCTTTAGGGGTACAACAGCTTGTTACTCAGGCAATACCTTTAAAGGGACAACTTTTGTACCTTATTACAAACTTACTACCAAATGGTAGTAGTCATTTTAAGGATACACATTACTTCTGTAAAGTTCTAATTTTAAGGGTACATAAATTGTCTCTTCAAAGCACATTTTTCTAACCGTGTAAAAACATTTACCATGGTAAACTATAGTTTAGGGATGGGGAACTTTGCTCCTGGCACCACTTTCCTAGCAATTTTAGTTTCAACACTAATAAAACTCACTTGTCCAGTCTAATTGAAGTCTTACCAGTGTTTTTGATTATGGTCGAACTAAAATCCAGGGGCAGAGTTACCCTAAACATTTTTAAACCTTTAATTAATCTTACTTTTTCTGATGACTCTGGTGGTAAAATACCAGTTGCCAGTTTTATTGTAACATCAATGGGGTAACTGCTGTATTTTGGCAGAAACTAAGGTTTCCATTGTACATCTTTGTAAGAGTTATTTTTACAGGCCAAATGTGCTTTGCATGTTGTTTCTTTTGCTCCGCTCTGTAAGGTCTGTTGCCTTTGGCCATCTTCCAACAACAGCTGAATGAATGAACCATAGTCGGTTCATAGTCAACTCTTTCAGATAGTACAATGGCCCCAAGTGTGAGTTTCATTGAATTACAAGAAAATAACAAACCAATTAGCATCTGCAAATGATGCTAGCCCTTTCTCAGAACTAACTTAACATGCATTTTACATTGTCTGAATATTTTTGGGGTCACTATATTGCAGTACGCTGTGGTACTTACGTTCTGTGGCCATGGTAATAATGGTCTCACTGCTGCCTTGTTCCTCATTCTCACCAATGCCTCCATTTTGGTCATACTGGTCGAGGAGCTCCTGCAGTGGAGGTGCTTTGGGTAAGAGTAGCTTGACCGTGTCTCTACTGATGTTCGGAGCTTGTTCTAGACGCAGGATGCTCAAAATCTGAGACTTGATGGAGTGCAAGCGCATGAGTTTACTCTGCTGCCTAAACTGACAGGTCGTGCACTGGCCGTTGTCGTCTCCAGCTGTCACAAATGCTTGCGATGTTGTTGTTGTTGTTGCACTCAGGCTCTGACTATGTGAACCCAGCACACTCCAAAAGCTCAGATAAAGAAGGAGAAACATATCTTCTGATGTATCTTTGTAGACGTTTACACATTTGGAAATGGACAGCACCTTTACGCACTCTCTCCGAGCAGCACTGGACAGATGCACAGCCTCCCAGGCAGTTTTATACTTAAGATTCCCTGCTGTTAGATATCATGTGATTGGTTGGATTGATAAGAACAAGTCTAGATGAGACTGCACTGAGGTAAATTCTGAAAGCAAGTTTTGATTTGAGGATTTTCAGGAGCTGTCTATTTTTTTTTTTTTTGTACATACCATGAATTTATAATGCAAATACCATAAATATCATATGGATTTCATTATAATGATCAATTGAAATCGGATGAGCCCATGTGTGTAGCCATTCAGATGTTTTAAAACACTTCTTGGACCTCTGGAAATGTATGTTTATCATGCTGCTGCTGAGGATTCTTATATAGATTGCTAAGACGTTTCTATGTGGTTGATAGAATGGTTGCTTGGAGGTTTTCGCATATTTCTATACATTTGTGAGAGGGGTCTGAGTGGTTTTAGCATGTTATGGGTAGTTGCTAAGGCGTTGCTAGATTGTTCTGACAGGTTTTAAAGTGCTGTTATATTGACACAATGTTTCTGGGTGGCTGCAAGGGGGGTCTGAGTGATTTTTAGCTTTTTACCATACAACTGAGTGTGTTCTTTTTAAGACGCCATCATGTTGTTGCTTTAATTGCCATTATGGATTGTTACTAGGGGGTTGCTAGGTTGTTCTTCTAAAAGGTTTTTACAGTGTTAGATGTGGTTTGATTCTATTTGTAAGTGGTTGCTGTGATGTTGCTAGAGTGATTTTTATCTTGTTGCTAAACAATTGAGTGTTCTTTTTAAGACATTGTCATGTTGTTGCTTTTCTGTTGTGGATTGTTACTAAGGGGTTGCTAGGTTTTTCTGACAGGTTTTTAAAGTGTTGCTATATGGTTGACAATGTTTCTAGGTGGCTGCTAGGGGTTTCTGAGTGATTTTTGTCCTGTTGCTATATAATTGAGAGTGTTATTTTTAAAACGCCATCATGTTGTTTTGCCATTATGGATTGTTACTAGGGGGTTGCTAGGTTGTTCTAAAAGGTTTTTAGAGTGTTAGATGTGGTTTGATTCTATTTGTAGGTGGTTGCTGTGATGTTGCTAGAGTGATTTTTTTCTTGTTGCTAAACAATTGAGTGTTCTTTTTAAGACATTGTCATGTTGTTGTTTTTCTGTTGTGGATCGTTGCCAAGGGGTTGCTAGGTTGTTCTGACAGGATCTTAACATTTTGCAATATGGTTGACAATGTTTCTAGGTGGCTACTAGAGGTCTCCAGATTATTTTTGTCCTGTTGCTATACAATTGAGAGTGTTCTTTTTAAGATGCCGTCATGTTGTTGCTTTGTCATTATGGATTGTTACTAGGGGGTTGCTAGGTTGTTGTAAAAGGTTTTTAGAGTGTTAGATGTGGTTTGATTGTACGTGTAGGTGGTTGCTGTTATGTTGCTAGAGTGATTTTTATCTTGTTGCTATAAATTGAGTGTTCTTTTTAAGACATTGTCATGTTGTTTTTCTGTTGTGGATCGTTACTAAGGGGTTGCTAGGTTGTTCTGCCAGGATCTTAACGTTTTGCAATTTGGTTGACAATGTTTCTAGGTGGCTACTGGAGGTCTCTGGGTTATTTTTGTCCTGTTGCTATACAATTGAGAGTGTTGAGATGCCATTCATGTTGTTACTTTGCCATTATGGATCGTTACTAGGAGGTTTCTAGGTTGTTCTAAAAGGTTTTTACAGTGTTAGATGTGGTTTGATTGTATTTGTAGGTGGTTGCTGTGAAGTTGCTAGAGTGATTTTTTTTATCTTGTTGCTATACACTTGATTGTGTTCTTTTTAAGACGACATCACATTGTTGCTTTTCCGTTGTAGATTGTTACTAGGGGGTTGCTAGGTTGTTCTGAGAGGATCTTAACATTTTGCTATATGGTTGGCAATGTTTCCAGGTGGCTGCTAGGTTTCTGAGTGTTTTTTGTCCTGTTGCTATATAATTGAGAGAGTTATTTTTTAAACGCCGTCATATTGTTGCTTTGCCGTTATTGGTCGTTACTAGGGGGTTGCTAGGTTGTTCTGAGAGGTTTTTACTGTGTTAGATGAGGTTTGATTGTATTTGTAGGTGGTTGCTAGAGTTATTTTTATCTTGTTGCTATACAACGGAGAGTTTTCTTCTTAAAACGCGTTTGTGTTTTTGCTTTAACGTTATTAATCGTTAATAGGGGTTGCTAGGTTGTTCTGACATGTTTTTAAAGTGTTGATATATGGTTGACACAATGTTTCAAGGTGGTTGCTAGGTTTCTAAGGGATTTTTGTCTTGTTGCTATACAATTAAGATGGTGTTCGGAGTTTTTTTCTTCATATCATGATATGGGTAGTTGCTAGGGGGATGCTATTGTTCTGATAAGTATTGTACAAAATATCAACACTTGAAAATGGGTGCATTCACCAGTTTATGTTGATGAATGGGCTCTTTTCATTCTTAGACCATGGCTGTGACTTTTAACACTGTGTTTTGATGATGTGCTTCTTGAATATGAGGGAAGTGGACTCAGGAAATTATTGCTACAGCTGTTCTGTAACATTTGCCGATACAGATGTCTCTGCTCTCCCTGTCTCTCTTTGTCCAGCAGTGCAGCTTTATTAGATGCATAAATAACAACAGCTGATAGCAGAGGGAGTGGGATACTGAGGGTGGCCTTTGGTGGGTCAGTCACAGCACCACCCGGTGCTGGTGGATTATCAAGTTCTTTCAAGAATGATGCCGCTTTGGGTTCAGATGCCGGGTGGGTCTGCTTATTTAAAATATGATTGCACAAACCAAACTCATTAACTCTGCAATGCACAAATTCTCATTTATGGAAAATGAAATTTAAACAGGCTCTTTTGCACTTTTGGAGTGGCAAGAAGTGCTTATGTTGTCTAATGAAAATGTGACTGGTGCTTGTCAGTGCAAAAATCGTTGCAATTATGCGAAGGTATTTTGGGTGGTTACCAGGGTGTTGAGAGATGGTTGCTGTTGCTAAACTGTTAGGGTGTGATGCGGGTTCGTGACTCTTCTATTCGAACTCGTTCATCAAAATGAACGAATCTTTTCTCGACTCAACTCGTTCATTTTGTTCGTTGAATGAACCAAATGACATGAAAAAAGATCCGTTCATTTTGATGAACGTGTTTGAACAGGAGTCACAAACTTGCATCACAGAACAGAGCAAGGCTAGCATTTGAGCTTATAAAACTTAAACGTTGTTTTGTTTTTTTAAATGAGCGATCGTTTCGCTAGATAAGACCCTTATTCATCGTCTGAAATCATTTAAAACCCTTTGAACAGTTTGCAGTTTGCACTGAAACTGTCTTTTGGACCTTGAACCGTCTGGTTCCCATGCATTGAAGTCCGTTGGAGAAAAACATGATATAAACTGTTAACTTGTCTCTCAAATTTGATTGGTCGATTGGAATGTTGTTCCAGAATCAACAAAGATGTTGATCTCTAAGTGAAATCAAGTTCACCATTATGGTCTAGCAGTTCCTTAAGAAAGTAATAACAAATATATCTGCACAATTTTTAGTTATCATTCATGTTTTTGTAGTGGGCATAATAATGCATTTAGAAGAACACACTTACATGTGGTCATGTCCACCAAAGAGTTTTACAGCAGAAAAAAACAACAACACAAATTGTATGTCAGTGTGTCTAGTCTAGTGTCTTTATTTGATCAGTAGTGAGTTACTGTCTGTGCCATGCCATCCGTACAGACTGTGCCATCATTTCCTCTGGTCAGCCACCTGCAGTGCAACGTTGGCATTTTCTCTGGCGTTCTTCAACAGCGCTGACACTTTTGCTTCAGTCTAAAAATCAACAAACCACAAACATTTTCTTGATCACCAGAAACAATGCTAATTGGTTTTTTGACATTCATGGGTTCCTCAAAACAAGTTTCGTATCACATAGTGTGTGGGTTTTTATATGGGAAAAAGAAAAACATGTGGCTTAAGCATCATAGCAACATTGACCTAAATAGTTTTTGAATGTTTCCAGATACTCACAGCAGCCCTGAATGAAGCATCCGTGATGTCCTTCAGGTTGATAATGACGTTGTAATATGCTCCATATACTGCCGTTTCCAAAGCTTTAGCCGCTACCTGCACATGACCAGAATCACGCATTGAAATGAATACTGGTGTCAGCTTTTTTAACCTTAAAAGTCAAGCCATTTTTGTTAAGTCAAGATTTTTACTGTTAGTGCAAAGTGCTTTGTTTGGAAGGATTTTTTTATTTTGCGTCTTTTACTAATTTCCATTACACGAGAGTAGAAGTTACACTTTTCAAAAAAAAATTTGCTGATAATTTACTCATCCCCATTTCATCCAATATGTCCATGTCTTTCTTTCTTCAGTCGAAAAGAAATGAAGGTTTTTGATGAAAATATTCCAGGATTTTTCTCCATATAATGGACTTCAATGGGAACCAAACGGTTCAAAGTCCAAAAGACAGTTTCAGTGCAAACTACAAACTGTTCAAAGGACTTTAAACTATTCCAGACGACGAATAAAGGTCTTATCAAGTGAAACAATCACTCATTTAAAAAATAAATAAATAACAAAGTTTAAGTTTTATAAGCTCAAAAGCTCGCCTTGTTCTGTACCGCGTTCGTGACTCGCCTGTTCGAACTCGTTCATCAAAATGAACAAATCTTTTTCCGAGTTCATTTAGTTTGTTTAATTAACCAAATGACACGGAAAAAGATTCATTCATTTGATGAACGAGGTCAAACAGGAGAGTCACAAACATGCGTCACAGAACAGAGCAAGGCGAGCATTTGAGCTTATAAAACTTAAACTTTGTTATTTATTTATTAAATGAGCGATCGTTTCGCTTGATAAGACCCCTATTCATCGTCTGGAATCGTTTAAAGCCCTTTGAACAGTTTGCACTGAAACTGTCTTTTGGACCTTATACCGCTTGGTTCCCATTGAAGTCCATTATATTGAGAAAAATCCTGGAATGTTTTCATCAAAAATCTTAATTTCTTTTTGACTGAAGAAAGAAATAGATGGACATCTTGGATGACATGAGGGTGAGTAAATTATCAGCAAAAGTTTTCTCAAAAGTGAACTAATCCTTTAAAACTTCATGCTGATTTGTACTCGCTTTCGCCAAGATAAGCACAAGCTAAGACGTAGCTTTATTTAGTAATTCACCTGAATATCTGATTTACATGCCAGGTTTCCGTATTTCATCATCTCTTTGAGAACAGGCCAGAGTGTGTTTATTCTTTCAGCCAGGGACAGGGGGACGACCACCGCCGCTTTCAGACCCTCCTGCATGGCTTCCTCCCTCCTGTATAATCCATGAACAAGATGAAATAGTCATTACTCATTTAAAATAATTGTAGCCACATTAGGGGTCTGATCTATCTGAAA